TGACTATATAGAATTTTTTTTTATTTTATTTAAGAATAAAAGCTAGATAACTTTTATTACCAGCTTTTAAAAAATATTGACAGTGATTTTTACGGTTTAGGGGAAGTGGGGGCATAACCGCCCCCGTAACGTTTGGAATAATGTTATATGAAAACAAAAACGAAATGTGTTTTTTTAGGAGTTTATTTCAATAACCACATCATTAAGCTTTAAATTGATGCATTTAAGAAAAAAATTAAACAGGTTTTGAAAATGTTATTACACAAAAATTACACTTAGTGAAAAAAACGGTTTTGCCCCCATTGTGAGGCACAACCGCACCCTCAAAAAAATCAATGGGGCTACACCTTTCATGGTACATTTTTTTTACAATTTTCACAGCTCAGATTATTTTATGATTTTGTTGCATGTTTGCATATTGTGCAAGCATTCTTTGCATTTACATTTTGAGTTCTGCCCCAAAAGAGAGTTCTACCCCAGAAGATAGTTTTTAGAAAGAAATTTTTTTTTTTTTTTTTTAATTTTACATTTGTTGGTCGTATTACAACTATATATTGCCAAACTTTCACAAATATAAAATAAGGTATTATATTAATATATATTACCAAACTTTCACAAATATAAAATAAGGTATCTGAAAGAAGATCAAAGGATCTTGTCGTCAGAACCTTAAATAAGTTCAAACAAGCATTAACAGTATCAAATTTTTACAAATTTCATATATATACAATCCAAATATATATTTTATAATCCAAAGAGAGATCACGCGGATCTACTCACCAATATTTTATACAAACGTATACGTGAAGTAAAGAATATAAAATCAACAAAATAAGTAAGAATAAACTTTTTACAAATATAAATAAGAAAAGGCAAAGTTATTAATTTATATTATTAATAATAACATAATACATCTTCTAATGAAAAAATTAGGGTTTTTAATTTACTTTTAAAAAAACAAAAAAGTAATGGGTAGTTCGAAATCAAAATTGGGCAAAACAATTTTATTCCAAAGGTGTGGTGCCCGATAGACAATACAAAATTGATTAAAGTTAGTTTGACAGAAAAAGTTCATTTAAAAAATCAGTATTTCTCAAATTGTATTTGTTGATGGGTTTCGGAGTAAAAATATCTTTGAAGACAGATTGAGACAAGTCATTTTTCCACATATATACAAAGCATAAAACATTATATATATTTAGCTCGTATATATTTAAAATTCTCATTTCAATAAAATAATGTTTTGCGTGAGAATAGCGATTTGCAAAGCAGATTAAACGGATAGCATGTTTCTGACGGCGATAAAGACGTTGCAACTTACTTTTTTCTGTACTACCCCAGGCAATATTAGCATAATTTAAATAACTGTGTATAAATGAATAATAAAGTTTGATTAAAATTTTCTTATTGAGGTAGATTCGTGCTTTATATAAAACTCCTATGTTTTTTGAAATTTTAGTGCTTATGTAGTCGATATGATGATTCCAAGTGATGTTTTCATCAAGGTAAACACCTAAAAATTTTGTTACGGAATCCCTTTTTATTTCATTTTGATCAATAAAAATTTTAGGTAAGTTTAATGGCAAATATCGTTTTTTAGAAAGCGAATGGAATAAGGTCCATATTGTTTTATTAGAATTTAGAATTAACTTATTACATTTAAACCAACTCGGTACATGTATAAGCTCTTTGTTCATTGTTTTAAAAAGTTCAAAGATATCACTGTTAGAAAGAAATAAGTTAGTATTATCTGCAAACATAATACTTGTTAGTTTAGAGGCTTTATTTAAATCATTAATATAAATTAGGAAAAGGAGTGGACCAAGAATTGAGCCTTGTGGGACTCCACATGTTATAGAAAGACAATTGGTGTGATAACCGTCATTACTCGGAACAAATTGTTTACGATTTGACAAATAGCTTTCAAACCATTTTAAAACTTTATTTTTTATTCCATAGTGTTTAAATTTATGGATTAAAATTTGTCAACCGTATCAAAAGCTTTTGATAGATCAATAAAAAGTCCTAGAGTATATCGTGATTTTTCAAATGATTTTGAGATTTCCCGTACAAATTGGATAATTGCATGTTCAGTTGAGCTATCCTTTTTAAAACCGAATTGATTAATGTTAAGTAATTTATTAACATGAAAATATTTGTATACTCTGTTATATATAATTCTTTCTAAAATTTTTGAAAAGGTGGAAAGAACAGAAATAGAGCGATAGTTACTTATAATTTATTCGTCCCCTTCTTTAAAAATAGGAATAATTTTGGCAATTTTTAACAGTTCGGGGAAAACACCTTGATGGATAGAAGCTTTAAAAACTTTAAAAAGAACAACTTTTAGCTGTTCAAAACAATCTATAATAACGTTTCCATTTATTTGATCTGCTCCAATTGCTTTATTTTTTTTTAAAGATTTGAAGGCTCTTTCAAACTCTTCAAACAATAATTCAGAAGACAACTCAACTGAACCAATGCAATTATCAATGGGTACTAGAAAATCAGTAAATAAAGATTTTGTCTTAGGGATTTTTTTAGAAAGTGTTGGACCTATATCGATAAAAAATTTGTTAAATTCTTGAGCTATAGTTCTTGGTTCGTATAAACTTTTGTTATCGACTCTAACCATTTGTGGCAGAAAACCTGAGCATGATTTTTGTTTTCCAATAATTTCATTCATTATTTGCCATGTGTATTTTGTGTCATTTTTAAATGTATTGAGTAATTGAGAGTAATAATTTTTTTTTAAATTTTTGCGAATTTTTTCAAATAGATTTTTGTAGTCCTTGTAAATTTTTTCGTTTTTAGGTGTTTTTGTTTTCAAAAAATTTATATATAGTTTTTGCTTAATTTTGGACGATTTTTTAAAGCCCTTAGTGATCCAGGGTGTATTTAAGCTCTTAGTAGTTATTTTATTTTCAATGATTGGGAAGTTAGCATCGTATACAGAAAAAAATGTTTTGAAAAAAGACTCATAGATATTGTTAGCATTATCATTAAAATTTATGTTATTCCAGTGTAGTAACGAAAGTTGATTTTTGAATAAATTAAGGTTAGCCTCATTTTAAATGCGTTTTTTAATTACTCTTTGTGCGGTTAAAGTTTTTTCAGAGTTTGTATTATCTAAATTTAGGAATATAGGGAAATGATCTGATATATCGGTTCGCAAAATACCTACTTTTAAATCATTGTTGAAAATATCTGAAGTTATTATATTATCTATTAGAGTTGCTGAGTTTGTCGTTACTCTTGTAAGTTTGTTTATTAGAGATACTGAACCCGTTTCAAAAATTTCATCATAAAAATTTTTAACTTTAAGGTTATCATTATAAAGAAAACAATTCATGTTTAAATCTCCAAGTATAAAATTTTGTTTTTTTTCAACGGTACCTTATTTAATAATTTGTTGTAAAAACATGCAAAAGTTTTCGCTTACGCCATCAGGTGGCCGATAACAACAGCTTGGTAAAAATTTTTTGTTGTTGTTTTCTTTGTTGTTTTGAATTCAGTTTCATAGATTAATTATTAGATTATGGTATTATCAAAAATGACTTTCACTTCATGAAATAATGCTGATAACACATATTTTTAACACTAAATATCGCTTAATTCTCAAAAAGAAAGTCAGGAAAAATATGATGTAAATATAATATTTTTATCAAAATAAAAATTATTATTCACAACTTCTCAGAAACTTAACAGTCACTCTTTTTGACATATGCAAAATGAAGGAAACTGTTTTACTAACGCGTGGTATGTTTTTTGCCATATTAGATAACATTTTTTGAAGAGAAATGTTAAAAAACGGTTGTGCCTCCATATGCGGTTATGCCCCCACTTCCCCTACATAGCAGAAATAACCAGGTAAGTTTCATAAGCACAATTCTTATATTTACAATAAAAGAATTTTTTCATATATAAAAAGAATTTTGTAACATTTATCCAATAACAAAAAACATAATCTCATCAAGTTATATTAAGTAGCAGTAATAAAATTTTGTTACGCCAATATTCCGGCTCGAGATTGCGTTTATATGTTAGTTTTTGATAGTTTCTAACGCGTCAGAATCTTGCGGTTAGAATCTAACGCTATCAACATTTCCCCTTACAGTTTATTTTATTTCAGTCAAATTATTAAAAAAAATGCTGCTAAAAACAAATATGAACAAAATGGTAATTTGTGTAAATAAAGATCAATATAATAAGCATTTTTTATTATATAATTTGTTATAGATTTTACGTAATTTTAAAACTGTAAATAAAGACCCACTTTTTAAAACGTTTTTTTCTATACGATATAGTAGAAAAACATTTAAAAATGTGGATTTTTATTCGCGGTTTAAAAAATAAGTAAAATATATAACATGTTATATAAAAACAAATGTTTATTATGTTAATATTTAGAACTGTATTCCCATTTTATTTTATGTATTCCACAAGATTATAGAGCATATTTTTTGTTAAGATGTCCATTATTAATTTTGATCACTCAAATTACTATAACTTTGCTTCTAATTAGGCTAGAAACATTTAATAACCTCTTTCTAAACATGTTTCGAAGTCAAAATATTTAGTTTAGATTCTTTAGACTTTTATCAACGATCATTAAATTAGAAAATTGAAATGAAAAAACAATATAAAATTTGTTATGAAAATCTCGTTATTCTAATACTAATTTTATCAGTAAAAAAAAAATGTATTGAAAAAAAAAGCATAAGATTTGTTTTTTTAGATTTTTTAAAAAACTTGATAGCAGAAAAAAATTATTAAATAAATTAAACATCAATGATTGTATGTTATTTTTTACTTTGCTACATTTTTCAAATAAGTAGAAAAATAATATTTCCGGGATGAAAAATATCCTATCACAGAAATATTTTCCAGGAACCTATATAGTTAGCACCTAAATACAAAAGCAATTTACTTTCAATAGAATCCATTCATATTAAACGAGTAAAATACAGGAACAAGTATAAAAAACAAACAAATTTTAAAATGAACATTAACATCTTATGTATGTACATTGAGATGATTCTATCAAAAAATAATAAACAATGACAATAAAAAATACAAAAACTTTTAAAGTTGTTGAAATATAACATTTTATTTTCAATATAAATATATATTCTTTTTACATGATTAGTTATTATTTAGAAAATCCAATTTGCTATCTTGTTCTCATCGCTTGGAATTTAATTGGGCGTTGCATAAAAGTATTACAATATATAGATTCTAGTATGCATTCATGTATGTTTGTTTGTGTATGTATGTGTGTGGATATATATATATATATATATATATATATATATATATATATATATATATATATATATATATATATATATATATATATATATATATATATATATATATATATATGACTGTTATGATCTTCAGATGAAACAGTAGTAAAAATGCAACAACTCTAAACTTGCACTTATAAAAAATGATTCAGCAACTTGCAACAGCCAGACCTCTTAAGCATATATTGCAAACCATGGCATTAAAACAGTAAACTGCAAGAACAACAAGTTTATAAGGAATATCTTTGGCTTTATTTTGAACAACTCACATTCTTAAATTGTATGCGTGCCCAAGAAACAAAATCGTCAATTAATACTGGCCATGCACCTTAAAATGGAAATAAGTAACATAAATTCAATTTTATTATTTTATTATTAGTTTTATTATATACTTTTTATTATTTTTTAAATATTACAAAAATATTTTTAAATTTTTAGAATAAAAATATGCTTCGAATAAAAACAATAAAAAATATAGTTTATTGTGTAGTGTAGTAAAACAATTCAGTCTCTTGAACCAGTCTTTTGTAGAGTTGTATGTAAGAAGTTGTATGTAAAAATTTTTATTCGGAGTGGGAGCTCCCATTCTCAATATTTTTCATTTTCATTTTTTTTTTACTCTCCCAAAAAAAGCAAAGAAATAAAGTAAGACACATGTAAACCCAAGTAGACCAAAGTATCAAGTCCAAATCTAATATAACCATAATAATCGCATATACTCAATAGTGTCAAATAAGTTGGAAAAAAAAAATTAAGCTTTTAAATTTACGAAAAGTAAAAAAAAGATTGCAGTATAGTATACTACGTTCAATTTTTAAAGTTATAAAAAATATGAGTCATAAAAACACACCGAAAAAATCAGGCGCTTTTTTATCTTTTCACTTTTAATTAACAGTTATTTTTTTTTTTGTTTTGTTTTTGAAAAATACTTTAAAAAAGTAAGAAGTATTAAAAAAAAAAAAAAAAAAACACAAACTTAGACAAAAAGCTTTTACAAAAAGCCTCAAAATATTGAGTATTTTATTACAAGTTTATTTAACTTTCTATTACAAATGTGATTGCGATGTGAATGTGATGAGATACTAAATACGTTTTTGGTCTATATAAAATAAAAATGCTCACCTTCCTCATCATAATTTGACATATCGTCATTAATCATTAATGAAAAATCCAATAATAAATTCCATGTATCTTTAGGTATAGAATGTTTTTGGTTTTCCTTTTAAATTTTATTTAAAATAAAAAATTAAACTTTAATTGTTAAACATTTAATAAATTTATTTTAAAATTCTAAACAAAATAGCAAAGAAGAAAAAACTAACAAGTATTTAGCAACAAAAAAAACTCACTGTTAAAAACTGCACCCACATATCTAAAAATTTAAATCGTCCTTTGAAAACAATATTCCAATAAGCAATAGCAATTTCAAGATCTAAATATATAATACATTCCAGAGTACAATATTTCAAGATCTAAACATATAATACATTCTAGAATACAAAATTCACTGTAATAAAATTAAGAAATTAAAAAAATATATATCACATAGTTAAAACTAAAAAATTCTTTACGACAGGTGTCTGCAGAAATTTTTTAGTCTACATATTAGGTGACATATTTAGTCTGACTATAACCTCTAAGAAATTTAAAATTTTCTTTTATTTGCAACAGAAAGAATTTTATCTACTACATAAAAAATAAGAAGAAATAGAGAAGACTTTGGTTTTTTTAGCATCATAAAAAATTCAAGTGTTTGTTATCATGGGTCAAAGAGTCTTTAACTAACCCCCTAGATGGCTTACTCTCAAAATACTTGCATAATATTTCATTTTCATGATCATCTGATTAATAGTTTAGAAGTTACAGTCGTTTAAATAAAACTACTCTTGTTATTTTAGATTCAAAGCAAGTGAATTTGTTTTAGGTGAATTTAAACTAAATGAGCAGATCATTTTAAATTATTTTAGATTGGATTTAGAGTGGAACAATATCCTCAAAAGTTTTTGCTCCATAAACAAAAACAAGTGTACGAATCAATGTAATTTAAATTAGAAAACAAACTTTAAGGGGAGCAATATCTTCAAAGGACTTCTGCTCTATAAACAAAAACTATCAAACAATGATTTGCTGATTTTGAATATCCCAAAAATTCTGGATATTCAAATTAGGTAATATTTTTATAACTCTGAATTATAAACAAATATCAGGTTATGAAAATGCTGTTTTCAGTTTTCATCAAAACAAAAATACAACAAATAAATGATTCAGAGCACTGTCAATCTAAATGTTCGTAACTCTTTTGCAGATACGTACAAAAAATTAAAAAATTGAGAAATTAATATATAAAAACTAATTTAAACTTTTTATAGTAATTTTAGAACAAACAAAAACTCTAGTAACATATTTTAAAAAATATATTTTTTATAACTTTTTATATTATTAATTTAGTGGTGTTCAAGCTGAATAAACTTCTTACACAGATAAACTACAAGAAAGAAATCAAAAAGTAAGAAAGATATTAAAATGATTTTTGTCAAACTATAAAATGATAAACTTTCATTTTTTACACAAGAAACAAATATTATTAATCAAAGACATTCATATGTAAAATTTTTTTTACATTTTCATAATTTTTAATTGTATTTTTAAATATTCCAGAATTCAACAATCAGAGTAAATACAAAACAACTAAAACACTTTTTGAATTGCATATAGTAAAAAATTGCTTAAAAGCAACTTTATGCAACATAGATAGCTCTAAGTCACTTTTCAAGTCTCAACATAGATAGCTCTAAGTCACTAAGATCACTTGATGTCTATTGTTTGTGTTGATTCTTATAACTATTATTGTGATTATTATTGTGTTAATGTGTAAATTTAATCTGATTGTTTGACTGCTAAGATAACTCCAATAAACCAGGATATAAACCAGGTACTAATTCTTCGCTTGATCCTAGTGGCGCTATCATTAAACCTTAATCACTAAACCTAAGTAAACAAAATTAAACTGAAATAAAAGTTCAATTGAAGAACTCGAAAAAGCTTTCTATGCAGACTTTAGTATTGATTATCTAATATTAGTTCACTACAATTTATTCTGCATATAATTAATATGTAACCTTATTACACAGAGACTAAAAAGTTTCAGTAAGTGTTTTTTTCCAATATAGCAATTGTGGAAAAAAATGACATTTCAAGAAAGTATGCAAATAATCATAAAACTTTATCACGTCAGCTGCTGTCAACTTCTATGCACCAAGTTTAGCCTCCATTACTTGCTTTTCTATCAACTTATTCTATTCTATTGTTTATACCTTTATTGTTAGGGCCAAGATAAGAGCTCTTCTTGACACCAGAAGCTCTAAGACATTTATAAGCAAACCATCAATGTAACTTATTAAAACTTAACATACTCCTTTCTAATAAAGAGTATTTATGACTGACCCATCCTTATTTTGTCAAGTTAGGTAAAGTTTCAACTAAATTCACTTTATTTGGTATGGATTCTTCTGATATATATTTTTTTGGTTATACCCAATTCTTGAAAACAAGTTATACTTGGTAGAGATTTTCTAAAGTTGCACCAAACTCTCCTACCTCTCCTAGAAAGTGACAAATGATTTACTTCTTTTGAATCCAATGACAGCTTTTCCAATTCAAAAGAACTCCTTTAGGCTAATGTTGTTTTCACTAATGCTGTTGCAAAATTTCAAAGAATCATCGATAACTTTATTAAAGAAAAAAAATAAGACATTTGTATTAGATAACTTTTTGTTATCTAATACAAACAAGTTATACTTGGTAGAGATTTTCTAAGGTTGCACAAAACTCTCCTAACTCTGCTAGAAATTGACAAATTTAGATGTGGTACATCGAAAAGCAAACATGATTTCAATTTAGAAAAATTTCTCAAAGCTTCTAAGAAAGCTATGCTTATGTTAAATGAAGAAAAGCCTGTATTATCTACTTCGTGTATAAAGTTTCTAGGTTTGATTTCTCATAAACTTTCTCTAACTGAAATAAAACATTCTTCTGTAGAGAAAAAAAGCTGATGCTATTGTTGAATCTCTGCAAAATTGGGAACATTATCTTGTTGGTCAGCACTTTATCCTTGTCAATAATCAGTGTTTTATTTTTTTTATGTTTGGAAATAACAAGGAAAAATTAATGAACGCGCTTCAAAGTTCTATCCTCCACCTCAGAACTCTGAGGTAGAGATAAACTTTCTTCGTACAACTATGACATCTATAGTCTCGGATGTAACAATTTTGTTGTTGATGCATTCTCTAGATCTAGATCTTGCTGCTTTATCATAATAAATGGAACCTCATGAATCTCTTTGTCAAACTGAAATTAACAGAATGTATCATGTTTAAAAATCTAAGAATCTGCCTTTTTCGATTGATGATAAAAAAAACATTTCTTTGGGTCAAATTTGTGCTGAAATAAAACCTAAATATTATGTAAGCAACTTCAACTAACCTTAAATCTACTTTTCCTTTTAAACAACTAAGCATGGATTTTATAGGACCTTTTCTCGAGGTACTTGCTTAATGTCAAACAAACAACATAATTTTCTTAATTTGTTGGTGTCAATGTGAGTAGAACTACTCCTTATAATCCCCATGGTAATGGTCAATGTGAGAGATGCAAACGGCATTGTTTGGAAAGAAACTTCTCTTGCACTTAAATCAAAGACATTACCTACCATGGGCTGGGAACATGTATTAGCTGATGACCTTCATTCAATTTGTTCCTTACTCTACTAATTATTAGCTCAAAAACGACTATTTGTTTTCAGTCAACGTCAGCACAGCAAATATTGGTTGATGAGACTGAGCTTGTAGAGGCTCATTATTCTCATATAAGATAGACATGAGACTACTGTTGCTACAGGACATCTTGCACCAACGGTTGACATGATCAGTGATAATGATACAAATAATGATTGTGAAGATAACTCTAATGAACCAGATACTAACTCTTTGCTTGATCCTAGTGGAACCATCAACCTAAGCTCCTTAATCACAAAAGCTATCAAAACTTTTTAACTCTCTCTCCAACTAATCCTAATGAAATTTCAATTAAAGAACCCTTGTTGTTCAGGAAGAACCTGAAATTCTCCTAAATATTTGAATGACTATATTTGAACTATTTGCAGATAGTTTTATTTAGTATGGTAGAATGTGCTGATTTTTGTTACTGTTATTGTAATTACTATTGCGTTTGTTATGTGTAAACTTATCTGATTGTATATTTTTAGATTACATGTTATTTATATGCAGAATAAAGCCTATGCTGGCTTTAGTATGAATTATCTATTATTCACTACACCACCTGAAGCTTATTATTTGTTAATTGTAAATACTTAAAGCAAAGCTCAATTATAAATTTAATTATAAATTATCATTTATAAAACACTTTTATAAATGATAATTTTATAAATGACCTTAATAGAAATGAAATCATAAATTTTTATAGATGAGTGAACAAAACTGGCTTCACATACTATGTGAAGTCAGTATTGTTCACTTAGTATTTTCACTACAGTATTGTTATACTTCTTAAAGGGATCCCCAACTGCCAAAACAAGTTGTGTTCATAATAAAGAAAATGTTTAAAAAAAACATTTAAGCTAAATTTTTTTGATTAAAACTATATAATGAATGTACACCATTAAAGTTAAAATTCATGTTTTAGTTGAAGCTCGCTGTTTCCATTTTTTTTTTGTTCACGGAGTCTGTATAATGTTAGCCGCAATCTACAGACTTGATAATTTATTCCATGCATGTTTAATTCATAAGAGTTTCGGTATATGACATCATCGTATAAATTTTTTGGGCAACTGAATAAGTGCAAACTGGCATAAGTGTGAATGGCATAAGTGCGAACTGGCATAAGTGTGAATTGGCATAAGTACAAACTGGCATAAGTGTGAAGCAGTTTCAAAAACAGGCACAAGTGCGAACTGGCATAAGTACGAATTGGCATAAGTGCGCCAATTAAATTTATAAACATTGGCATAAGTGCAAAGCAGTTACAAAAACTGGCACATGCAAGTGCGAACTGTTACAAAAACTGCAGTTACAAAAGCAGTTACAAAAACTGGCACATGCAACTGTAAACTGAGCAGTTACAAAAACTGGCACATGGCAAGTGCGAACTGGCAAAAGTGTGAATTGGCATAAGTGCGGCAAATAAATTTGCAATCTGGCATAAGTACGAAATACTAACTTGCACTAGGATAATATTTGAAATTTTATTTGGCACACTTATGCCAATTTGCACTTATGCCAGTTTGTACTTATGCCAGTTTTTGTAACTGCTTCGCACTTATGCCAGTTTGCACCTATAACAATTTGTACTTATGCCAATATTTGCAAATTTATTTGGTACACTTATGCGAATTTGCAGTTATGCCAGTTCGCACTTGTGCCAGTTTTTGCAACTGATTCGCACTTATGCAGCTCTCCCAATTTTTTCTTTCAAGATGTAATTTTTTTTTTTTTTGCCACAATCACCAAATCATGTTAATTGTATAACTTTTTACTAAATCCCCCAAAAAAGTTTATGATGCAATTAAAATTTATAAAAATAAAAAATATTTATAAAATTTATAAAAATAAAAAATTTATAAAAATTAAAATTTAATATATAACAAATATTTACAGTAAAACGTACTGGTTTAAACTAAATATAAACTAGATACTAAAAGAATAATTTTATTAAAGCATATAAATTAAATTAAAGTATAAACTGAATAAAAAACAAGTGACTTGAATAAAACATATAAACTGAACTAAGTAGAAAATAAATATTAAACAAATTATTATACTAATAACGGTTCAAATCAAACTAAATTAAAGTTAAAACAAATATTTGTACTAAAATATACAAAAAATAGTTATAATTTAAACATAAAAACAAAGAATCGCTTTACTTGTTCGCTATCAGCCGAACAAAAATCTTTTTGTAGCAACAGCACATTTTTTTGAATAACATTTGAATAGCATAACATTGACAATTAATTAAAATTCAATAATAATGTTTTTAACACGCATGATTAAACAATAAGAAATGCAATGTGCTTAAAACCATTGTTTATATAAGTAGTAACTAAAACATTAAGTCTGAAACAAACCTCGTTTAATGAATAAAAATAATATTTTTTCTGCAAGAAAAAATATTAGTTTGGTAATTACTTAACTAAATAACACTTCTACAAGTTATACAGTTTTAAGTTTTATTTTATAACTAAATTTAAAGACGTTTTTTTTATGAAGGATTATTCAAGATTTTTTAACTTTGACTTTTTTTATATTTACATAATATAGCTTTTATTTTTTCTTGATTGTGTAGAGAATTAATTAAACCTTTAGAACGAACAAATTTTATGTGTCTATTGGAAATTTATGTACAAAACAAGATAAATTGTAAAGCATACTCGAAAGCCACTACCAGAGGCTTACAGTAGTGAAAGAATTAAATCATAACTAAATGTAAATTAAACATAAAACAAACAACTCTATTAAACCATATGAATTAAATATAAAACGAGAAACCGCATCATACTGCCTTTATTTTTTCTCTGCCTGCAAACTCTAATAATCACAAATATGTATAATTGTGTCATGATTTTGGCTGGCTTCTAAAACAAAGTAATAATAAAGCAAGTAATATATATATATATATATATATATATATATATATATATATATATATATATATTTGTATAATTTTTTACTAAATCACAAATATTTTTTGTGATTTAGCAAAAAAATTATACAAATATTTGATTTTCTGATTGTAGTAGAAAAAATACAATATCTTTAAAAAAAACAACAGCAAAAAAAAACATTATCTTAAAAAGATATTGTGATGATGTCATATATCGAAACTGTTATGAATTAACACGCATGGAATAAATTATCAAGTCTGCAGATTGTGGCTAACATTATACAGACCCTGAGAACATTATTTAGTTTCAATCAAAAAAATTTAGCCTAAATGTTTTTTTTAAACATTTTCTTTAATATGAACACAACTTGTCTCGGCAGTTGGGGATCCCTTAAATGTTTTTTATAAATGTTTCACTAATAATATTTTATAAATGTTTCACACAAAGTAATCTAAGTTTTACTTAAAGTTTTACCTAAACATTTTTGTCCAACATTTTTTCCAAAGTTAAATGTAAATTGATAAAGCTCTTTGAACTTTGTATGATCTTTTAATTCAGATTCTATAACAGGTAAAGCTTTTCGAAGTCCATCAATGCTATCACAACTAAAATAAAAAAATAGAAAATTAATTTTTAAACAATAGTTTATTTTTTCATAGCCATTTGAGAGACACTAACCAGTCATGTTGAGTTGTGATTTTCTTATTTTATTTATCAGTTTTTATTTATTTTCTTATTTTAAACAGACCATTTTATTTCTAATTTAAAATAAAAGCTCAAATAAACCAAATATTCTCTATTCTCATTCTAAAAATAACAAAGATGTTAATAAAAATTCACTTGGCTTCTCAGGTCTTAAGATCTTGAGCAAACACTTGCTCTAATGAATCCATCTTTTTTTTAAACAAAGTCATTCTCAACAAGGCAGCAAGCACCCATTATTTAAGTTAGCAATTAACAGAAAACAAAGCAGAGCAAAACTTCATAAGTCATGAAAAAATCAAGACGAAAATTTGAAGCTTTGATGTTCAAGAAAAAAATATTTTTTAGAAAACAAAACAATTGCAGCAATAGAATGTAACTTTGCTGAATGACAAGCTTGACAAATAGAGCTGATTCAACAACATTCTTAATGCTTTTTTGAACCTTCTCTAAAAGAGAAAAGGTATCATTAGAGAAACTATCAGATATCATTAGAGAAACTATCAAATAAAAACAATAACATTCCATACAAGGACAAATACGAGATTTATAGAGGTAGAAAATGGAATCAAGAGTAAGAAGATGACAAACACAATAAAAAAGGTTACTAGATTCTTACTGCCCAATGGACTAGTTTCTATGAGAGGTCAATAATCTGATGTAGAGTAGAAGACTCTTAGAGGTAAGAGTTCCTATTAATCAATATAAGAAAATCAACAATATTACAATAATTATTAGAAGTAAAGAACTGAGTTTTGCTGAAGTACTTTTACTGCAAATCCCAAGCTGTTGCAGAAATTACATTCAAGATCAACTGCTTGTTTTAAGCAATCAAAAAGTAATGCTTTTTTTTCAAGAATGGGTAACTTAGCAGTGTAATCCACAAATAGACCTTAGTTACAAAATTTTCTTTTAAAATCATTAATACAGATGAGAAACAACACAAGATTATTATTTGTGAAATATAGGCGAACTTCAACCAAACACGACTTGAATATTATGATAGGAAAGGAATGATTTAATAATCACAAAAACTTTCCCATATATGAAGAGAGCATATAGACTTTGATATATCAAGAACAAAAGCCCTTCCATCCATCATTCCGTTCCATTTATCACTCCATTCCAGCCATCATTTCCTTCTAATGCGCATACAACCATTCAGTTTCAATGCTTACCAACAAGCAGTAAAATAAAAGAACCAAAATCCTTTTTAAAGTTTTTAAATGAAATCCTTTTTGATTTTTAGTTGTTAGACACAGGATAATAGAAAAAGTTTTTAAATTGAAGATCTTGCTAATGATAGTTAAAAGTTATAGGATAATAGTAAGAGTTTTTAGTAAATAGTAAGAGTCATCAGAGTTTTTAATAATACAAAAAAAAGTAGAAACTTTTTAAATAGTCTGAAGAGTATTAAAGAGATTTTAAACTTTCTAGAGAACACTTATTTGTGAGAACACTTACAAAGGACTGTGACATGAACTTTGTTAGGACTACAAACTGTAAAAGAGTTTAAGTCATAAATAACTTTAACAACAGGAGCTAGAGTGACTAGGTTAAAAATAGGTTAATCCAACAATGGATTAACCTATTTTTCTGAACTGACATTTAGATTGTTAGAACTTCCTTTGTTAATGATACTAACTTTTGAGATAAAATACAAGATTTAAATAATTAAAAATAATGAAAATAATAATAACAAAACTCATGCAGCACCTTTTTGCATTATTCCTTGCAATAAAAAAAGACCTTTGTTTACAAAAGCGAGAGTGTAACAAAAGTGTTGTTTCTTTGAAAAAGAAATAATGATGATCAGAAACAGTAGCTGCACGTGTAGGTAACCATGGGATACATACATACAGTAAGATTTGATTTGAAACCAACAAAAAGACAAAAAAACATTAAAGCATGTCTGAATCTAAATGAGATAACATTGAAGCTACAGCTATCAGCAGAGAGAAAAAAGAAGTATGAGAAAAAATTTTTAGTGAGATCATGGGCATTTAAAAGAGAGAAAAAACTTGACACAAGCTAAGATTAGAGAAAAAACACAAACTAAGGAGTGAAGGTAATTGACTAGGGTTGTCTAGAAAACAAGTCACAAACAATTTGAGCAAGAGATTATAAAAATATTCTCTAAAGTTCCTGCTTTATGATTCAGAAAACTCATTGGAAAAAAACATCACAAAACAAAAATATTACCCTAATTCGCACATCCCATCAACAAACTCTTTTCTTGAAAATTCACCTTGAACTGAAGCTTTAAACTTCCAGCAAATCAAAAGGACTTCAAAAGAAACTGGATCTAGTTTCAAATCATCACAGAAGCGAGTTAAACCATCAACAAGCATTTTATCTTCATTATGGTCTATAAATATTGTTGCAAATGGAAATAAGTAAAAAAAAAAATTACCTTTAATTATGCAATATATATATATATATATATATATATATATATATATATATATATATATATATATATATATATATATATATATATATACACAAACAGTATTGCGTACTATTGTAAGCAATCTGACGTCATACTGAAATTGCCTGCTGCTGGGGGCTTCAGTACATACATAGACTGACAAATAGCCTGACTCGCAGTGGAGTGATGCTACATCAACTGAGGGTTTGGGATGGGGAAGCAATCATTTCATTCATCATTCTTCGTTTTTTCTTCTTCTTTTTTGAAAAAAACGGTATAGCTTAATGTAAGCAGAAAAAGTGAGCAAATGCTTATCAAAACACGCTTTAGTAAGTATATATATATATATATATATATATATATATATATATATATATATATATATATATATATATATATATATATATATATATATATATATATATATATATATATGTATATATATATGTATATATATATGTATATATATATATATATATATGTATGTATATTTGTATGTATATATATATATATATATATATATATTTGTGTATATATATATATATATTTGTGTATATATATATATATTTGTGTATATATATATATATTTGTGTATATATATATATATATATATATATATATATATATATATATATATATATATATATATATGTATGTATATATGTATACACACAGATATATATATATATATATATATATATATATATATATATATATATATATATATATATATATATATATATATATATGTATATATGTATACACACAGATATATATATATATATAACATTAATGCTTGTATATATGAATGCATTATATCAAATAATACATGACACTTTTTCTAATGTTTTAGAGCCCCCTCCCTACTCGCTCATACACTACCCCTTGACTTGAGCATGCAGATGATGAAGACTTTTTGATTCTCATTTGATACTGTACTCCTTGAGCAAACTGTTGCTTCATTGATTTTGATAGTAACAAAATAGTGCCCATAATGCAAACTTTTTTTAATAAGTAATTTTGAATGCTTGGATATGAGTAGTACGGCAGTTTAAGTAGTATGAGCATGGCAATCCTTTGGGAAACATTTTTGTTACTGTTGTGGGAAAAATTAATTTGCTGAATAATATATTTTGAAAAAAGCTCAGAAAATTGTTTTTTGTACAATTGCATTCAAGGCCATCTTCTCCTTAGAACAAAGACAATGATTTTTTTCCTTCACCAAGAAATAGGTGAAGGGAAAAAATCATTGGTGAAAGAAAGCCATTGGGATAAGATAACACATGACAATGACCACAACAACTTTAGTCATTACATTTTATAATTTAAAGAAAACACTGAGTATTTCTTACATGCTTGGCATCCCACTCCAAATGTGTACAGCTTTTAGCTGTACACATTTTTTGGGTTCTTTGAACTTGGCTTTAGCTCTATTAATAAATGTACTGGACTAAATTTGTAAATAAAAAATGGCCTCCAAAATGATCAAATAGAGGTAAAACCCCTTGAAAGGCCATAGCTTAGTGGGTTCATTTTTCTCTTAACCCTGTTAGAGGCACATCTGCCAGGAGCAGTAGTCTTCAAAAAGAAAGTCTAATAAGTCTTAGCACTCAGCACTTTTTTTTTCTGTTAGTCTTTTACAACCATACTTATTAAATGTGCTTTTAAATGCAGGAATGATTTTAAATGCAGAAAACGGTTGATTCTCATCAAGTCTTCTAAATGACTAAAGCCAGTCGAAAAGAGTCGTGATTTGCATTTCTGATTTGTTATGTACGTTGGGTTAAGTTATTTTTTTTTTTATTTGCATTCACTCCCAACAAGGCTGCAAGCAACCACTATTAAGTTGGGAGTTACTAGGAAAAAAAAGAACAGAGTTATAGAGCAAGGAAAGGGTTGACAGAAGAATTGAAAAGTTGAAGGTTGTATGAGTCAGGAAAACATGAAGATGGGAGAGAGTTCCAAAGGATTGAAGTGCGGGGATAAAAACTAGATGAATAAAAGTTTTTAGAACATGCAGGGACAGATACAGTAAACGAATGAGACTTAGCTGAATGACAAGTAAAACGAGAATGAATTTTAGTTGATGGAACTAGAGATGATAACTCCTTTGAGCAGTGACCATGATAGTATTTGTAGAAAAGAGAAAGAGAAGCAACTTTACGACGATGGGAAAGAGGTTCAAGCTTAGCAGATAGTCCAGGTCCAAAAACATTTACAATGCGTTTTTGGACCTTGTCAAGAAGAGAAAGTGAATCGTTAGAAGAACCAGCCTAAATATGACAACAGTATTCCATACAGGGACGAATAAGAGATTTGTAGAGGTAGAGAATGGAATCAGAAGTAAGGAAATAGCGAGCACGATAAAGAGAAGCAACCTTAGCAGAAGCTAATTTAGCAATCGATTGTATATATGGTTTCCATGAAAGGTCAGTAGTAAGCGATAATCCAAGAAGACGAAAAGAGGAGGACTCAGTAAGAGGATTGCCATTCATTAATATAGGAATGTTGACCATATTACGGTAGTTGTTTGCAGTAAGCAACTGGGTATTTTTAGAGTTGAAATTCACAAGCCACTGTGAACCCCAATCTATTACCAAAGTGAGATCGGATTCAAGATCAGCTGCTTGTTCTAGGCGATCGAAAAGAGAAGATTTTTTGTCAAGACAGGAGTATAAAGTTGAGTCATCAGCAAAAAGAGCTACTTTAGATGAAAGGTTGTCAGGAAGATCGTTTATGTAGATAAGAAACAAAACAGGGGCCCAGGATGGAACCTTGGTGAACTCCAGAAGTTACTGGAAATAAAGAAGAGTGTTGGCCTTCAAGGATGACTTTAATAAACCGGTTAGAAAGAAATGATTTGATAATCTCAAAAACTTTCCCAGAAACACCATATGAAGCAAGCTTATGGAGAAGACCAGCATGCCAAACTTTGTCGAAAGCTTTAGATATGTGGAGAGCAACCGCCCTAGCCTCACCGCCTTCATCTAATGCACGATAAAATCTTTCAGTTACAGCAGTTAGCAAGTCAGCCGTAGAATGAGAGGATAGAAAACCGTACTGATTGTCTGACAGTAGTTTATTTGACTCAAGATGAGATGTGAGGAATTTGTTGATCAAAGACTCAAAGACTTTGCTAATAACAGAAAGAAGACTGATCGGACAATAATTGGAGGGGTCAGAATTTTCTGCATTTGAATACTGGAACCACAGATGCCATTTTCCAACAAGCAGGAAAAAAAGACTCAGTCAAACACTTGTTAAATAGTTTAGAGAGAATTGAAGAAAGTTCTGAAGAACAATTCTGCAAGACTGTGACAGGAATGTTGTCTGGACCACAGGCTGTAGACGAGTTTAATTAAGATACGACTTTAGCAACAGAAGCCGGAGTGATTTGAATGTCTAACAATGGGTCAACCTGTTTGACTGGAATGGAAGGAAAAGAATGTCCATAAGATTCAAGAGTGGAATCTTTGCAAATAGTTCTGCCTTATCCTTGGGAGAGGTAATAAGATCAGGCTTATGAATGAGAGATAGAATGTTAGATCTACCCTTGTTAATAATGCTGTTGAAGATTTTCCAAAAGTCTTTAGAGCCTAACTTCTGCAATAAAATGCAAGATTTAGTGAACTGAGAATAATGGAGTTTAGCATCAGAAAGCACCTTTTTACATCGATTTCTTGCAATAATAAATAGCCGTTTGTTCTCAAGAGAGTTGTTCTTTTGAAAAAGATGAAAAAAATGATTACAATTGGATATAGCAGCCGCACAAGAAGGAAAAAAACCATGGAGTAGAATGAGGCTTGACTTGAAACCGACGTGAAGGAATAAAAGCTTCCATTCCAGCCTGAATCCAGGAGGTTACGTAGGATGCGCATTTGTCAGCTGAGAGAGAAAAAACATCAGCCCAAGAACCATCACAAAGAAAATCACGTAAGGAATCCCAGTCAGCTTTAGGGTAGTAGTAGGTGGTGCGATGATAAGGTGAGCCCAAAAAAGAAGTACGAGAAGAAAGATTTATAGAGATCATTGCATGGTCAGAACCACCTAAGGGAGAAAAGGGAGAAACTGAACATAAGCTAGGGTCAGAGACAAGACATAAGTCAAGGAGTGAAGGTAAATAATTAGGGTTGTCAGGAAAACGAGTCACAAAGTTAACTATCTGAGTAAGAGATTGAAAAATGCAGATGTTATAGGCTTTAGTGCCAGCAGGATCAGTGATGTTGGAGCCAAGCCATTCAGTGTGATGGGCATTAAAATCACCAACAACAACAATATTGGCAGAGGGGTAAAGAGAGAGGGCATGGCCAATTTGATCAGAGATAACATCTAAGAGAGTGCAATCAAGGGAAGAAGGAAAACGATAAAGAACGAAGAGCTAGGTGATAGAGTGAAGAGGTGCTAGGTGAAAGCACATAAAAGAATAGTCAAAGGATTCGAACCTGATTTCACGACAAATAGGGGAACTAATGCGTATGTATACCCCAAAACCTAGCATGTGACTATTTGAGTCTTTACAAATCAAAGGATAGTACTCATCAACTTTGACATCTGAAGAAGGAATTGCAGAATTTAAATTTGTTTCACTGAGTGCAAGCAAGTCTGGTGAATTTTGCAGGAGGTAAGACTCAACTGATGGAAAGTTGCATCGTAGACCGCGAATATTTGTAAAAGATATATTAAAATATTTAGGTGGTGGGGATGGTTTTTTAGGTTTTAAATTTTTGGTTACTTTGGTCATGATTTGGGCTTAATGAGAACTTGACTCATTCATAGATAGAGCACAGCCTCCTAATCAATGAGCTATGCAGTTGTCTCAGTCCTGTTAATTAACCCTAAGCCATGACATAGGGCTCCTTATGTGGTCTTGACAATGCACACCAAAAGCATTAACAGGGACACCATCCATGCGCAACATGGCACTGTTATTTATACTCTGATATTTTGCAGCTGTTGATGGAATCAGCCTCTCTGAGAGCTACCACAGAGTTCGGGAAACCTTACTACCAGCCGGCCTCAGAACCATTAAACTGAGTTTTAGAGCTGTACCCTCATATGGAGATAGCAGGAAGAGTTGCATAGCCATTATCAAGGAGGCATAAGCAAAATTCTATGAGTAGAGTCAAGGAGATCCAGCATTCATCATCCTAGGCAGGAAACAATGTAACACAGGTTACATCTACACCAGCCTAATAGATGAAGAAGGGGTTCGAGGCTGGTTAGCAGAATTTTTCTGCTTACCCCTAAAGTCTTTGCCTAGGAGGCCTTATACAAGACAGTAGCAGGATGCAGTTAACATCTGCCCAAGATGAGTATTTTTATCGAGACACCATCTCTAGCCTTTACTCAACCAAGAGCCCCAAAGCAGGGGATGTTTAGCTGGATGCATTTAACATCTGCCCAAGATGAGTGTTTTTATCGAGACACCATCTCTAGCCTTTACTCAACCAAGAGCCCCAAGGCAGGGGAATTTTTAGTCGGAGTTTATTTCTCCTAGCCTTTGCATAAGAAGAGCACACTCTGCAAGGCAGCAGGGCTTGTGGCAGGTGGTACTGGGTTACGTGATACCAGTAGCAAGATTGATCTCAATTATCCTGACCTGACCTGGATTAGTTAAAAGGAGTTACTTCCCGCAACAGTACTTTGAGAAAACCAGGCATGACATTTTGGAAGTGCATTAGGAAAAACACTGCATCTAACAAAATACAGGAGTCTAAGGTGAGTGTAGGTTTTGTAGTTGGAGTAAGTAGTTAGTTACTGAGCTCACGCTGCATTAGAGTATAAACAGAACACAAGCAATTATAATTATTCCATATTATTCCAACAAACATAATTATTTTATTCCAAATTATTCCAACAAACATAAGTATTCCACTGTTTTTTTTTTAATGCAATTTTTCTTGATTTTAATGTTTGCAATTACTGAAGGAACAAGTTTGTGTTAAAAAGCAACCACCTAAACCATGATAATCTAGTAACAGCCACCATGTTTAAATTGATTCTTGCTTGTTTGCATTTGACAAATGTTTTCCCATGAGATAAGTAGTATGATTACTCTGGCAACAATCATCAACGAAAAGCTGGGTCTTTACTCTGAGTGTTGGTTATAAATTAAACAAGAGATGCTATGATTCTTATTGAACTCTATTTCAAATAGTAAATATAGAAAAAATTACATTAAAAATAATGACAACAATAACAGTAGTAATAACATAATGATAATAAAAATAAAAATTTAACATTCTCTTTATTAAAATGATACATCTGAAAGAGTTGTGCAATGATTAAATGAAAAATTTAAAAATTGAAAAAGTTATTATTTGTTAATAAAAAATTTAAGCTGATAGAAATTTTTTTTACTGAGCTTACTGAAAGCAGCAAGCTTTTTAATGACAGTTATGATTGGAAATCTCATTTGTGTTTACACAATTATTAAAAATTGAAGCCAGTAATTAAAATCTTTCCAAGATTATAATTACATATATATGTTTTAGCATTAAAAACTCAAAAAGAAAATATGAAGTTTTAAAAAGAATGATAAGCTCTTCTATGAAATTAACACCAGTAGTTAACTTGTATGAAGTTATTACTATGAGTATTTTTGTGTAAAATTAATTCCAGGGTAGTTAACTTACACAATATATACAAATAAAATGTAATTTTTTTAGGGAAAATTAATAAAAAATCTAACCAGATGTTCCTAATAATTCTTTATTTAAAATTCATTTTGAATTTTTGAATAAAAAAATTTTCAAACCAACTTTTAGTAAAGAATCTTTTTAGCAGTTCAAGGTTTTCATCAACTGTTTAACAATAATAGCAGTTCAATAAATAATCGACAAAGCAAGTAAAAAAAACTTTAAAGTAAGCAAAAAACAACACCAGAACACCTTTCTCTATACTACATAATACATATTAACGATAGAACAAAAACGATACTAGATAGATACAGATTTTACTTTAAAAATTTAATGTTCTGATCAACATCTGTCATAAAATTTACCAGAATGTTGCTTTGAAAAGCATAAAAGCAGATGTAAAAAAAAAATTAACTGAAAAAATGCTAAAAACTTATAAAGTATGGATTAGTTAGATTATAATATTAATATTATTTTTTTAATTTTAATCTTTAAAATAAATTTCAAACAACTTATATTTATAAGTTTAAATTTAATTCAAATTAAATAAATGAACTTAAAAAATAATTAGAAAATAATTTTACTACCTATTTGATAACTATTTAGGTCAGTTGAAAAGTTTTTAGAAATTCAAAAAGTTGCAGTAAGAATTTATTTAATAATGAACATTTCGAGTATTTGTTAAAACTTTTGCATTTAAAGATGGTAGAGAATCTAAAAAATGATCCCTGCTTAAGGCATCCTCAAACTATTAATACAGCTAAGAACATCAAACAAGTGCATACCGTTATTAAAGAGAACCCTTATGCAACACAGATGCATCCTGACTTTAATTAATAAATTTGCGATCAATAAAATTATTTACAGGGCATAAACTTGAATCATGTAAAGATACCACGTAAGTTAATCATTCAAAGATAAAACAATAGGGTTGAGTCATGCAAAAAAGCCTATGAAGACTAATTGATGTTATTACATTAAAGGATGAGTCCTGGTTTTTTTTGAGACAAGTCGGACACAAATTGGTTAATAATAGTTGGGTTAATAAAGGCGAAAGAAAAAAAACTAAAAGTAGTAAAATGCAACAAGTCGAAAAACTTTTCTACATTCTTTTTAAAACATTCATTTGTGTTATATTGAAAAGACACTAAAACTAGTGAATACTATGTAAAAAAAAAGTTTGAAAACAGTATGCAAGTAATATTAAATATGCAATTTGGAATATGTAAAATAATTAAGCAAAAGCCCATAACAAGCACTCCGAACTTTAAATTTATTTGTAATAATGCTTGATCCCAAAGTTACTCAAATCGTCACAGATGTACTGATGTCAAAAATTAAAAAAAAAAAAAACATGCAACTTTGTATAGATAATCATGAACATTATTTTGAACATTTAGTAAAATAAAAAATCATTTCATAAATTAAAAAACTCTTTTTCATTTTTTTTTAATGAGCGATTCTACAAACTTTTTTAGCAACCTAAGAAAAATTATTAAAAATTACTATTTACTGTTGTTATTAATTATACTAATAAAATACATTTCCCCTACTCTTGAATAATCCCTAAAAAAATAAAAATAAAATTATTTTTATTTTAATTTACCAAAAAATTTTAAGTCTAAAGTTTTAAGTTTAAAATGGAATCCAACTTAAAAAATATTTAAAGTAAGGAGCTAATCAGTGTTTATGTAAGAACAAACTAAAAAATATGTTTTAAAAACTATAGCTATTTTTTTTTCAATAAAAAATTAACATAAAATAGATTTTATTAATATTACATAGTAAATGTTTTTTAATTATTCAGTTTACAACTGAATAATTAAAAAAGGTAAATTAAGAATGTGAATAAATGTGAGGTAAAAAAATAAAATAAAAGTTTAAAGAAAACAATTTAAAGTGAGTAAAGAAATGTAAAAAACTTATATGCGGAATTTCAGTGGGTGCCAAATCTTTATGACAATTATCATATGAAGGTAAAACCAGATAATTTGAAAATTTTATTATTGTAGATGAATGAAAAGACACTGATTACAAATAAAAAAACTACGAACTCATTTGATGCAAGCTATCATATAATAAATGGGGAGAACATAAAATATTCTCTACCATACATGTAGAGTTATTCCAGAATTGTTGAAAGAACTTAGTTGTTTTCAGAACTAAAAACAACAAAGTTATATTTAGTGATAACAAATAAAAGCTTAAAAAAAATTTTTAATGTAAAGACATTTGTAAAGTATATTATTTCAAGATACCATGTTTTGAAACCTATAATGTTGTATACCAGTTAATCGCTTGAACCTATAAAGGTTCAAGCGATTAACTGGTAGAAACAATAACTTTCACATACCTTTATATTTTTCAAATAAAGTGTTGACTTTTTTCTTCTCCACAACAGGCTTTGTTTCTTTGTGGTATCTCTCTGGATGTTGAAAATAACTATCTGTAGCAATATCCATGCGCCAATCATGTGAACTTAAACAAAATATAGCTGTTTTCTCGCCTGTATTTGTAAATGAGATAAACTGGCGAACTTTTTCCTTTTGAGCAGATTTTAGTTTATTCTAAAAAATATATAAAATTAGCAAATGAATTAGAAGCAAACATTAATTAATTATAAAAATCTAAAAACACAAACAAATATAGATTCTTAGATAATAAAATATAAATAAACAATTTTTATGCAAAATATTTCTGTTTCTGTCATTTCGACAAGTAAATGATAATAATATTAATAACAATAATAAATTAGGTATTAGAATATTTAAAATTTGTTTTTATTTAATCCTCTGTAATTAAACATCATTCAATAATATTTCACTGTTTAAGGAATCAATAAAAAAAATCAGGCTAAAGGAAAATATAATATACACGAATAATGTTGATAAGTTTAATATATAAAAATTCAAAATAATTATTCAAGATAATTAAACTTTGTTATTTTATTTGAACTCCTTTTTTTAAAATACTAAAATTCATTTATTTAAAATTTATGAAACATTTATAGAGTATCTGAGAACATTTGGATAATAAAGAAATAGTTTGTAGAAAAAAACAATTTTGATATTTGTGCTAAGTCAGATTCAGTAGGAACAAATTAGTTAACTGTGGCACCAAACAAATTAGTTAACAAAAACAAATTGGTTAACTGTGACACCAAACAAATTAGTTAACAAGAACAAATTAGTTAACTGTGGCAACAAATAGAAATCATATATTTTCAGGTGTTATAAATTTCTATTTAATAATTAACTACTTTATTTAATAATTTAAATAAATTCTATTATTGTTAACAGCCGTAAAACTTTATTTATTAACTATTGAGTTTTTAAAATTTGAGCAACATCTAAAACAGTTAAAAAACGAATCTAAAGTATCCAACTCATTCATTCAAGGTTTAATTACAAAAAAAAAAAAAAAGGTTTTAAATAGAAACTCTTGCTTAGAGTCACTTGGATTTTTTAAATTTTCATTTTCTTTAGCATTTTTATTCACTTAAAACAAAACAAATAAACTTTGTGACTGAAGTAAAATAAATTTTTTTAAATTTAATCAATTGTCTCAATAAAACAATATAAAATATACTAAAATAGAAATTGAGAAATAAGAAGAAAAAAAAATTATGTTAACTATCAAAAAGTGTTATCAACATCAATTTAATTTATTCTTAATCTTATCAAAACTTTTACCAAATTATACAAAAATTCTGCACAAACACAAGAATGAGCAAAAAGCTGTCAGGGCAAGCAGCTCATCTAGCCTTTGTTTGTTTTAGATAAATTTTTCACAGCCTGTGTAGCCATTTACTCTTGCTAAAGCCTGAATATGCATAAAAGTTTAGTATACATGGCTTCACATTTGTGTGATTTTAACAGGTTCCCATTAATTTTGTTATTTTTAATCTTTATTTATATTTTTATTTTTAATTGAACGTGACATAAGAATTAAAGGAAACTTTTACCCTTTTTAGTTTTACACACTTATTTTGGACCTTATACTGGCGTTTATTTCAGTCTATTTCAGGCTGTTAAGCTGACAATGCAAAGAATACTGGAGAACATATTTTTAAATATACACAGTGATAATTTACTTATGAAAATAAAGTTTGGATTTGATCGTATTGAAAACAATGCAATAATTAAAAAAATATTGTTAACACAAACAATGTTTGTTATGATGTTCTGCCCACTTTCACTTGAAACAGAAGCAGGTTTACCAATATGGTTCCAAAGGTCATCAAATGCTCCACTGAGTCACAATGTTCTAAGTTTTCAAATGAGAAAAGAATCAAAAGAAACTTTTTAATTTTAATCAAATATGAAATTATAATAATTAAAGCAATTTTTCAAACATTACCTAGACTTAACTGTTTTTCAAATCAATAATAAGTACCTTTATTGCAATGAGAAAGATTGTAATCAACCAAAGTTTACTAATTCTTCCTACTGCTATTAGCATATTATAATATTTAAAAAATCCACAGATTAATATAATTTAACAGTTTAAATAATTCAACATAAATAATACTAAAATAAACATGGAAATATTATTTTTTATTATATTATTATTTTGTGATATTGTAAGTGGCTAATAATATTGTAGATTTTTTTATTGTTTTATTTTTATTGTTATTCACTATTATTATTGCAGATTTTTTTTAAGGGATAAAAATATTTCCAACACTTGTGAGCAAAATTATTATGAAAAAACTTAAAACATAATAACTTTATAGTATTAGCAGTATTATTAACATTTAATTCTAAAAATATGCCACGAAGACTCCATATTCATTGTGAAAAAGTATTGACTTTTTTGGTAAAGTATTAATATCTAAATTATTATTTTTTTTATTATTATTTTAAAATTAAATCCATGATTCATCTAATAGATAAATTACATTTAAATTTAGTTGAGTGAGACTTTATCTGTGTTTGCTTAAAATTAGACAAACTGGTAAACCTTTTATTTGTAGAAAACATGTAAAAATCAAAAACACAAGATTTTAAATTTTAAGATAGCATTTATTTAAAAGTATTAAAAACATACATACCATTTTAAACATTAAATTTTAATGCATAAAAACGTTCTGAATAAAAGTTGACGTAGATGATTGAAATTCTGAAAAAAAAAATTACAGAGAATAGTGACAAAAAGTATTTAAAAAATACAAACTCCAGATATTCATTAACACTCTTTGCAATATTATTTTACAATATTACTTTACATATTTTACATATTATTATTATTTTACAACTTATAAGTTTGTTAATTCAATTGAAAAAAAATGAAAATTATAAATGAAAAAAGAAGCGTGTAATGAGTGAAAAAAATGATGAGTAAAAAAAAAAAACTTTTTTATTTAAGTAAAATAATTTATATTATTTTAACCCTGACTTTAAATAAAATCTTGTGCTTCAATTGATTTTAAAATAAAAGTTGTACATAACAATATACTATAAGCATTGCATAATATATAACAATCACACCAAAAAGTTACATAATATATAGTACAACACACAAAAAATTTTCATAATAAACATGCAAAACGGTTGCAATGTATATTGCACAAATACAAATTAACTGTTATACAAATAAAGTTAAAACTTATTTTTTATTTGACAAACTTAAAAAAGATTTTATCATTAACTTTTTAACTAATTTTTATGATGTTAGATTTAACTAAGATACAGCAATCTTAGTAATATTGCCTCAGACTATTAATCAAAAGAATACTGCATCTCAACGATTGCATAACTAATCATTTATAAAGTTACCATGGATACCAATTGTTGGTCTCAAACTTAGAAAAAAACATAGACAACATAACATAAAATTTATATTCTTATTAGATCCTAATTTAAATTGCATTTTGCAAAAATAAGACAAAAATACTTAAAAACACAAACCCAGGTATCTTCAAGCTTAAATGCTGGGTTGTACATACATTGGCAAAATAAAAAAAATACTTATATAAAGATGTTAACCACCAGAAAAAAAGTATTAAAATAGAGCAAATAATACTAAACATAGCGAAACATGCAATGGTAGCTTTTGACTAGTTGTATCTGATCAAGGAAAATTAGGGAGTCGCTCAATATAAACAGCCAAAGTTTGCCAGGAGTCAAGGCAACAACCAAGAATCAGAGGTTATTTTTGCTAAACTTAATTGACCTCAGCACTTGAAAAGTTCTATATATATTATTAATGCCTTTTTTTTAATCTTATTAACAGTTTAACTTTTTTTAACTAATTGCTTTGCACTAACTTTATTTATTACACCTGACGATGCTGATCAAAATAGATCAGCAAAACATTAGAAAAATATATATGTAAAATAAAAAACTTTTTTTTTTCCTTATTTATTATTATTACTTACACATTGTATACTTGCTATAGCAAGTATACAATGTGTAAGTATCACCATTTTCTATATCATAGTTGACAAATTGTAATTTTTACAATCTATTCCATATGCAATGATTTAATTTTGAAAAACATTTTTTGTAAAAGAGAAAAATAAAAACTGTTCCTTGCTTGTGATGACATATTTCCGCAAACCAGGTATGATAAACTTTCTTATTGAAAGATGGATGGTTTTTGTGAGCTTTTGAGCAATGTCTTATTTTATCTTTGATGATGTTTAAGAAGAAAATGACCTAATAGGGTCACTCCTCCTGTGAGATACCATGTGTGCCTTCCTATGACAGTCAATGCTCTCTCCCCTTACTTCTTTTTGAATTTAATCTTTAAAGATGAGATCATTAATTCAATTTGATTGATTGGTCGGAGGATCTGTTGACTTCTTGCAGTTAAGCTGGTTCTTTATATGAATCAGAAATGCAATTAGCACATATTTTTTAAGATTAGCAGAATTTTCTGAAAAGTATTATAACTCGTATTTAAACAGAAACATTTTTGCACTGAATACAATCTTTTATACAATATTGTGCAAATACAATCAACAAATGCATGAGTCTTTTAAAAATTGCATTTGCCATGTTATTTTTAAAAATTTGATTGATTGATTGCTTGCAATTATAATTAGCACAATATATTACCTCAGATTATCTCAGGATTATAAGAAAAATATTAATATAGAGTTGCAAAACCATTTTACGATTACTTTCTGTGGGAAAGATTAAAATTTGCTTTGGGCATGTCTTTCTTATTCAGAATTCATATCTCTTTCTTCTTGAGCTTCAAGATTAATGGTTTGATTGGTTTTTATTTTCATGTATGTATGTATGTAGGTATGTATGTATGTATGTATGTATGTATGTATGTATGTATGTATGTATGTATGTATGTATGTATGTATGTATGCATGTATGTATGTATGCATGTATGTATGTATGTATGTATGTATGTATGTATGTATGTATGTATGTATGTATGTATGTATGTATGTATGTATGTATGTATGTATGTATGTATGTATGTATATATGTATGTATGTATGTCTGTGTGTGTGTGTGTGTGTGTGTGTGTGTGTGTGTGTGTGTGTGTGTGTGTGTGTGTGCGTGTGTCTGTATGCATGTATGTTTGTATGTATGTATGTATGTATGTATGTATGTATGTATGTATGTATGTATGTATGTATGTATGTATGTATGTATGTATGTATGTATGTATGTATGTATGTATGTATGTATGTATGTATGTATGTATGTATGTATGTATGTATGTATGCATGTATGCATACAATCAAAAAAACAAATTTCTCTACTGGAAGCGCCAATGAATAAAAATAAAATAACATAAAATTTACCAATAACTAGATGTATTGACGATTTGTAATTAAATGTGTACAAATAAAAGCTAATGTCAACGTTTAAACGGAACTATTAACGAAAATATAAAATGAAAAATAAAACGGAAACTTATAGCATTAAACTTTCAAATAAAACATTATACACGGATACCATTTATTTTATTTTATATGCAAATATTAGATGCGGACTGTTAAATTTTTAAGACAATTTTGCGTTTTTGTAAAGAGAGACAAAGTTCAATAAGACAGTTTTATTTAAATTTAAATGAAAAACTGTTTCCCGCCTAATTTCTAATATGAATACTATATCTAGTATGTCGATTTAATATGTCGAATTGTAAGTGTGATTATTTTTTTTTTAACTACATGTCATATCAAATTAAGTATTGGACGAGCCAAGGATTTAATAAATTACCTAACACGTGATAAGCGATGTTTTTAAACCCTATGAGAAGAAATCTCAAGGGTTTAAAAATCGCCCTCCCTCCCCCTTTTCCCCCAGGTGTCGTCAACCAAGCTTAAATATTAAATAAGCAAGGATGTTAGCTGGAAAAGCAACATTTACAATATGATTTTTGTAATTTAGAAAAGACATAACAAACTGATGTAATGTAAACACTTGAGATTTCTTCTCATAGGGTTTAAAGTCATCATTTTAATTATCATAAGGTTTAATATTATAAATTACCAGATTGGAGAGTAATATTCTAAAATGGATTAAAAATGTCTTATGTAGGCTACATAAGACATTTTTTGAATATTACTCTGGGCTGGTCTTGTCCCTCAGTTTTGCTGAAGCAAAAAAACAGAATGAATTAATTTTTTTTTTTTTTAATATTTTAGTTTACATTTGTTAGTTCGTTTTTACAATATAATGAGAGTAAATAAAAAATTAATACAAATTATAAAATAAGCAAATACTACTAACATTTATAAAACTAGGTATCTGAAAGAAGATCAGTAAGATCTTATCGTCAGAACCTTATACTAGTGTAAACAAAATATTATATTATAAAGTAACTATAAGTACAACAAAATAAAAAAGAAAAAAAATACACATACATATATCCCTTTGTAGTATATATAATAAAGTTTAATAAATATTTCCATAATATAAATATTATTGTCAAATTTTGATAATACGGGAAAGAAAAAGATTTTTCAGCTTAACTTTAAAAAGATGCAAAGAAGTAGGTAGATCAAAATTAAAACTAGGCAAAACAATTTTGTTCCAAAGATGGGGTGCACGATAATCAATGCAAAATTGGTCAAAACTTGTTCGACAAAAAGGCTCATATAGAAGGTTTTTATTTCTTAGAGAGTATTTATTGGTAGGTTTCAAAGTAATTAAATCATTAAAAATGGCAGGAGAAAGATTAATAATTAATAAATTCAGTGCAGTTTTTGCTGAGTTAAAGAATGCACTGAATTAATAAATGTAGTCAAAGAAGTACGAAGACGTTTTACTCAGAAAATAGCTAACTTAAATAACTTTTCGTATATTCCGGGGCGAGGTACGGGAGGGGGAAGGGGTTAGTGAGAAAGTACGCTAAATTTAACTAATAGACATAACAAAAAAGATCAAAAGATTTCCTTCGCAGAGCCATTAAATAAACAAAAAATAAAAATATCCCTTTAAGTCCAGTGAAAATCGTTTTTGAACGATTCCTTACTCGAAACTTGTCGTCTAAAGCAAGACTAAATCTCGAGTTACAAAATTATAAACAATTTAGTTTGTCTTCCTGTATCAAATTTCTTTTTAATTAAAAATTTTATTTTCTCTCGAGGTCATAATCTTAAGTTACATAAATTGAAATACCAACTTGACGATCGTAAAAATACTTTCTCACTTTGAGTGGTTAATATTTGGAATAACCTGCCGTCTGATGTCGTAAATGTCAATATTGGCAAGAGTTTTAAATAATAATTAACTCAATGGATCATTGATGAAAAAGTTTTTTTCATTATTGACTTAAATAACTTTCAGAGAAAAAAAAATTCTTTGCAAAAAACTGAAGCCTGAAATACAAAATAGGAAGGTATTAAGTTACTAAGTTTTATTTTTAACTATTCTATACTCGATTTATTTTCCTTTACAGATTTCATTTTTCATCAAACAATACTTTAGTGTTTTAAAGTTATAACCACGCAATGTCTCTTTCCAAGCAGACAGGAATTGCCAGGAAAATTGCATTTTGCGTTAGTTGGCCAACGCATTAGGTATTCTGTGGAGACAACCCCATTTTTGCGTTAGTTAGGCCATCATACATATTTTTTTGGTATTGTGTTAGTTTGCGAGTGGCGAAAAAACTATTTATAAAAATTATTACTCCACAAATAATCATCTTGCATTGTTTACAATATAGAACATTATTTACATTACATTCTAGTTACATTACATAATAGTACATACATTACATTGCATTAATTACATTACAATATAGAACATTGTTTACAATATAGAACATTATTGAGGTAACATTATCATAGCTGTAAAGCATACAATAACATAAATCACACAAGGTACTAATAAAAAAACATAAAAAATACTGGTGAAGAACGCACGTCATAAGTTTTGGTATCAGTTCTGTATAGGGCTTTTATTGTCGGTCTTCTTTCCAACGGAAAAGAAAGTCAGACAAAGTAATCCTCTCTTTCTTCTGTTTTGCGTTTTTGTTGTTAAAACTCTTGTCTTAGTGACCAGACCTGACATCAGAACAAAAAAGTTTTTTATAACAAGGATCACCTAAAACCCTAAAGAAGACTGGCAACTTGATTATTTTTAATTAAGACGTAAAATCTGTGAGCTTTTTCTTTGAAAAGGTAAACATATTTAAAAAAACAAGTGGTTCAGCGATCAAGGCATTAAAAATCAGGGGCCTTGTTTTTAGAGCTTTTGCTTAAATGTACAGAGAACAGAGTGGACCAAATTCACCGCTTTCAAAATATCAGGTATTACGTTTTATACCAGACTAGGTAGAACTACCAATTCAATTGGGGAGTACCTTTAAACAAAATAGAGAAAAAACTCAAGTTTCTGGGGCTATGTTCATTGTCACTTCGGGAAAAGGCTACGTTGATAAATACGCTAGTAATGTCAAAAATGTGGTGTTTAGCAAACATATTTCCTATTCTAAAATTGTTAATAAAGCGTTTAAATAAAGCAATTTTTAAAAGGCAAAAGACCATTTGAAACTCGATCAAACAATAAGAGACACTTTTCTACCCTTCAAAGGTAATAATCTTGGATTTTTATTTCCCAAAGAGCAAAGTTTTGCACATTGTCTCAAAACAATCTTTTAATTAAAAGAATGTCAATAGTCACAGTTTTTACTACTTTTCAAAGTATTAGTTGATATGTTCGCTTTTAAAATTTACAAAATAAAAATCAAAGCTGGAATTGTCAAGGCAAAACAGTTTTTCCAAAAACTTGAACAAAAATTTCTTTGAATCACAGAACAATCGTTGCAATTTTAGACAATAGCAGTTTCCATAATAATTTCCCCTTAAAAATAACCAAAAATATTTACTTAGAAGTGTCAAAAATCAAAAAGAACCTTTTTGGAACAGTTAGAAAATTTTACTTTCCACGCACACGGACCGACACAAAATATCCTCTAATCCTTCTTTCTGCGGCATAGGTTTCTAATAGCACAAGGCAACTTTGTGAAAAATTGTGAAAAAATAATAATAAAATAAAAACCTGTTTTCATTTTTATTTTAAAATTGAGGACATCTTGGATTATGTCTTCTTTCTGTTATATGGTTGCACTTTTTTTACAAGTAAATTTATTTTAAGAATCAAGAATATGTAAGTTTGTTTGCCAATTTAATGTCTATTTATTTCTTTTAAGCTTTGATTTTTTAAGTTTTTTTTTATTTCTCAGGGACTTGTGACTTAATTGAAAACTCTGAATCATGTGGTTTAGGACAATAGATATAGAGACTGTTTTAATGCAAGTTATAAAGGAAAATAAAAAGTTGACGAAAATATATTTATAAAAATAATTTTTAGCATGTTATTTTTATATTTTTAAACATAAAAATAATAGTTTGATAAGATTTACGTTTTGCAAGTTTGAAACTATGTTTTTCATTCAACTGGTTTATTAGTTCTATTTAAATAATGTATTGCATGTGTAGTTTTGAAAGCAAAATAGTTTGAATTGTTTTATTTTGAAAAGTTTTTTTCGTAAACAAGAAATGAGCAAGATTTATATAAAATGTCTATTGTAGATGATTAATTCAATATTATTGCAGATTATTAATTCAATGTACCAGTATGATTTCTCTATGCAACTCTGGAATTTTCAATTGAAAATTTATTGGTTAACCTGTTTTATAAAATATAAATTTAATAGGCTTTTTACAGTTTAAAGAACTTTTTAAACTGTAAAAAAAAAACTTTTTTTTTTGCTTTAAAACAATAAGTTAAAATATTTCCTTTCATTGTTTAAACATCAAATTTAAATTGCTATGATTGTAAAACAGAGTCGCATTATCAGCATACCTTATTGAAAATACTATAAATATGTGCCCTATACTATGATTGATATACATTTAAAGCAGCCGTGACGTGTTATAAATAAATAAATATATATATATATATATATATATATATATATATATATATATATATATATATATATATATATATATATATATCTATATATAACAAAAACGGCCCTACACGAGGTTGGCGTAGATTAGCTTTGAAAAAGACTTTTAAAAAAAGGCCGCATATTTTTAAGTAACATTCTTTTTTAATTTTTTGTACTTTAGTGTAATAATCAAATTTATATGCGTATAACTACGCATAATATTATATATATATATATATATATATATATATATATATATATATATATATATATATATATATATATATATATATATATATATATATATAGCATATTTATTATATATATTATATAGCATAATTTCATTTGTCAGTATAATAGTCCAATTCTGTATAATAATCAATTTACAAAAAAATATTTCTGAAAAAAAGTCCAAAAGGGGAGGGGGGCTACTATTCCATACCCCCCTCCTTCTAAAACCCGCCGCTGGCTGGATCAGCCCCTGCATGTAATTATACACATAAATAAAATACACAAATATAACTTTATTGTTATTAAACGTATAAATCACGTGAATAGATATTTGCCGCACGCACAATATAATACATAACCAGTCAAAAATCAAATTAACTTAACAAAAATTGAATATGCAAAATAAATTCAGATATAAGAAATTTTTAGTATAAAATATAAGATGAATATAATAAAATAATACATATGCATCCCAAGTAAATATTAAAAAACAAAAGAAAGTTAATGTATAGATAAGTTAAGATCAAAGGTTTCGTATATATAAATTACGATAAAAGATTTCTCAAGTGTATTAAAAACAAAAGAAACCTAAAAATATAAATGTTTTCAATTGACAAGGGATTTTTTTCAATTTTCATTTTAATAAGAAAAAGTTCCATTCTTGAGAAGAATTAAAAAGTTTTGAAACTACTTTGCTTTATAAAAATGCTCTTTAAACGAAATACTAAATTTACCAAAATTAGTTTTGAAAACTGGTTGAAGAATAAAATTTTAGTTACGCAAATAAATTTTGAAAAGAAATCTTAGATGTGTGAGTTTTACACTTAAACATAAAACACAATAAATTAAAAATATTAAGTTGATATATGTTAGGAATATTCATTTCATTTAAAAAGAGGCTAAGCATGATAAACGGTGTTAAGTTAATAAGTCGTGCAACATATTTCTGTTGGCGAAAAAGTGGTTCTAATTACTTTTGTTAACACTACCGCAAGCCGCATTTGTATATCTTAGATTGCAATCAATGGTGTAGCTACCATATAGCAAAGTAAGGCAATGCCTCAGGGCCCAAGAGTTGAAAGAGTTGGCCCTTTTAGCTTTGGCCACAGTACACAGCCGCTTTTATTTTAATTATATATAAACAATTTGAATATTTTATCTAGTTTTCATTGCAATTCTAATTTTTTACTTGATAGAAATCTTTCAGTTAATTAGTCCTTCCCTCCCCTTTTTATTTAGATTTCTCCTAACTAGCAGTAAGCAACCCGTAATACGCGTTGTTAGTAAATAAAATTAAAAAAAAAAACGCGTATAGAAAAGCCAAGAAACTACTTTAAAATAGAAAAGCCTAGAAATGACGTAATTTGACTAATAATAATAATATTAAATTAGCGTATTAATTTTATCAGATATGTAAATTACCAGTGTCATTGGTAAATTTTAAAGTTAACGCGCGTTTTTTCCGGACCGTTTGTAACAGTTTAGAAATGCTAACATTAACATGCACGTGTAGCGTCAAAAAAATGTATTCGTAACAGTTGCTGAGGTTTTTAATATTGTTTAAATATCCATTGTATTTTTCTATTAGAAAAATACAAAATAGAAAATTTCTATTCATTGTTTCTTTTCTTTTATATCTCCCTTTCTCTTAAGAAACTTACGTTTTCCGTTTTTCTTCTTTAGATTATCTGAAGCATTGCAATAACCATATAGTGCTTTCTGTTTAGGGAGTTTAAAATTGTACAATTTATCCTGATCATTTCCATGTTATAAGAAAACATGGAACTATTAAATAGTAAAAGTGGGATTCAAAAAAGAAAACTTAAAAAACAGAAAGAAGAAGCATTAAATAAATTACCAAAGCTAGACAAGTTTATTATTAAAAATAATAATAATAATAATAACCAAGAGTACTCCAGATGATGCATCGATCGAATGTGAATGTTATGATGAGTTAAATATTTTAGAGAAAGGTTATACAGAAGTGATTGCTTGTAAATCAACTAAAGCACACTGTAGCGATGGAGAAATTAAAAAAATTTCAGATGAAATAGTTGACAATGAAGATGCTCAGGAAGTTTTAACAGGTATTAATGAAAAAAATATCATTTATACAAATACCACTATATGTAGTGACCTGGAAAATATTTAAATCAGAACATTTCTGATGAAACCAAAAGATTACTGATAAGCATTCCTGGTCACAGACCTAAAGGACCATTTCCCAAAGATCCTAGTCAACAGAACAGAAGTTTCAGTGAAACTTACTATTATTCTACATCAAACTATAGCCCAGTCCCACGATTATGGATTTGTTATTCAAGTATGTTGGACGCAGTATACTGTCAACCTTGTTGGCTTTTTTCAAGCATCAAAAGTCAATGGTATTCGGGGATAAAGGATTGGAAAAATTTATCACAAAAGATAAAAATGCACAGTTCATCCCAACATCACATTGAAGCCTGTGCGGTGCTCAAATTATGGAAGAAAAATAAAACCATCGATAAAAAAGCTGAAGATGAAATACGATATAGGGCATCATTTTGGCAGATGGTTCTAGAACGATTATTCCGCATAACACTTATGTTATCAAAAAATTCTTTGGCATTTTGTGGTCACCTTGAAGGATTTACTGAGGATTATAATGGAAACTTTTTATCACAAGTTCAATTACTTTCTAACTATGACAGTGTCATGAAACAAATTTTAGAAATGCAATCTGGTTCAATCCGATACTTAAGTCCGACCACACAGAATGAACTAATACATTGCCTGGGAAAAAAGTTATTGAATGACATGATTGCAAATATTAATTCATCACCATTTTATGCCCTAATGTTAGACACAACACAAGACATTACCAAGAGAGACCAATTAAGTGTTATAATACAGCATGTTCACATTGTTAGAAATGTTAATCAAGAACCAACTCATTTTAAAATTAAGGAAACATTTTTAGGATTTTATGAATTGAAGGACCATTCAGCAGAGGGAATGACTAATTAAGTATTGACGTTATTAAAAGAAGCACATATTCCAATTGAAAAGTGTTATGGGCAGGGTTACGATGGTACTAACGTTATGAGTGGAGTTTACAGTTTACAAACCAGGATTAAACAAATCCAACCAAATCCTGAGTATGTACACTGTAACAGTCATAATTTGGTAATTAATGACTGCGTAAATGGTTCGCATGATATCTTATCATTTTATGCTACTCTTCAAAATATTTATTTATTTTTTGGAAATAGCATAAAAAGATGGGACCTCCTCTCTATATTTACTGGGGAGTCTGAAGTTACATTGAAAAAACTAAATCCAACTCGATGGTCTGGTAGACTACAATCATTAACAGCTGTAAAAGTTCAATTTATGGATATTTTAAAGGCTTTGACTGAAATAATCCTTAAATCGACCAAAAAAGAAGAAAGAGAAGAAGCACTTCAAATAAAGAAAAAAATGGGGACATTCGATTTTGTTTTTATCTGTGTTTTTTTATTTAAGGTAATGTGCGAGGTTAATTTTGCTTCAAAAACTTTACAAAAACAAGAAATAGACTTGGAGGAAGCTACTGAAGTTTTAAAACACGTTTGTGAAAATTAAATTACATTAGAAATTCATATGAACAAATCAAATTAGAAGCAGAAGAACTGGCACGAAAGTGGGACATCGAAACTAATTTTCAAAAAGGCAACCAGTGAAAAAGCGACATTTTGATGAATTGGCTGAAAATGTTTCCAAAAAATATTCGAAAGTTATCTCTCCTCTTTTTGGTAATCAATTTCTGCAAGCAGTTTCATTGTTGAAAACAGACTTAACTTCAAAAATGTCGATTAAGCAATTTTCAGATTTACTACTTACTAAGTACAGTTGCTTAGAAAGTAAGTTTTCAGAAATATATACAGTTCTAATGTTGTTCTTTACCCTACCAGTAACTGTGGCTAGCGTTGAAAGATCTTTTAGCAAATTAAAAATAATAAAGGACTATAAAAGAAATTCTATTGGTCAAAGTAGGTTAAAAGAACTAGCGATAATAGCTATTGAACACAAAGAAGCAGCACAAATGGATCTTAAAGAATTAATATGCAGTTTTGCAAATGCAAAAGCTAGAAGGAAAAATTTTAAATAATTAAAACATGTGAGATTCATTATTTCTTCGTTTGAGAGTTGGTTATAAAATGTTTTATATTTAATATTGCATATGGTATACCTTTTCTCTCTTTATTTACTGAAGTTTACATTTTATTTAGTATTTTATAAATATATTTTTTGAAGCAAATTTTTTGTATTATTCCTATAAAATTATTTTGGAAATATTTTAGTTGGGGGCCCTTGCACTGGTTTTTGCCTCAGGGCCCAAAAATCCTAGCTACGCCACTGATTGCAATGAATAAAAGAGTAGTAAAGCTGAATTAAAGTATGTTTATTTAGCATGCTTCTTGTTTTAAATATTATTCCTGTAATTTTAGAAATTTTAGAGGACAAGTTTTCAATGTGTCTTTTTCCGTGTCATATTTTTATCAATAAAACCCCTCAAAAATTTGTAACTGTTACTTTTTTAATTTGCATGTCATCTATAAAAAGATCAGGCAATTCACTTGGTAGAAGATATTTTTTGTAGTAAGGATGAAAAAAAGACCATTTTATTTTTCAATATTATGAGAATGTTTATTTGATTTAAATCATTCAGAAATTTTAATTATTTCTAGGTCATACTATAAAATAGTGTCGTTAAGTTGCTATTAAACAAAAAATTTCGTGTTGTCAGCAAATATAATTGTCATTAAATTAGATACTTCATAAAGATTGTTTATGTAAATGAAAAAATACTAGAGGTCCTAGGACAGACCCTTGAGAAACTCCGCATGTCATACATGGTAAAAGCATGGTTAAGGGTCTTGCATGACTTTTGCAACCAGCCCCTAAGACTCTTAATCCGGGCTTAATTATATTATCTCTAAATGTGAATACTGTAAAAATTCAATGTTCAATGTCGTTTCGCTTTCGTTTTTAAAGCAGTTTTAATTAGTTACTAGGCTTTTCTGAACTTGAAACAGCGCGTTCTCAAAATGCACGCGGTTATTAGAGGAAGATCTTTCAACCGAATTAAAACTTTTTACCTTTAGAATTGAATTAATATTAAGATTAGTTTAGAAATATTACATAAAGAATCATATTAAGATAAATAATCATCGTTAAGATCATATTATAATAATCATCGTTAAGATCATATAAGCATTGAAAATAGTTTCGCAATTTATACATAATATTTTTTATTAAAAATAAAATAAAAAGGATCACTCCTTTTAATTTTTTAAATCGTTTACATTTTGTTTGTTTTAGTTTTTCTTTTGGCTTTATTTTTTTCTAGCAGTTTTTATTGAGCATATCTTCTATTTTTTAAAAGGAAGATAGAGGTAAGGATGAGGTCTAATTATTTTTTTATGCAACAAAAAAGTTATACTAATGCAACAAAAAAGTTATACTAATTTCAATAAAATTGGTTATTACTACCATGAAATTTCTGTGATGCTATTAACTGTTTTTGCTCTTTTTTAGAAAATTTAGAAAAATAAATTGAAATTTCGTGCCACTACTGACATGTCACATGTTATTGTATGTAAAGATTAAATTTTTGTTATGAGAACTACAGTTCTTATGAAAGAAAAAGGTAAAGAGTATTGTTTGTATATAAATATTTATATTTTGTTTACTTTGAATCTTTTAAAATTTTTTCATGCCATTTTTAAAATTTTTGTTTGCCCAATTCAAGTTATATGTTTATTGTTTGCATTGCTTTTTTGATAATTATGTGTATATTGTAAAATGTGCTTTATAGCTTTTTTTATCAATGTGTTTTTATAATAATGTAACATTTTTTTTTATTGTTTGTGTATTTGTTAATATAAGTTATATAATTGTTTTATAAAAGTGTATAAATATGTTTATATATGTTTTCAAAGTGCTGTGAATTGGTAAACGTGTTAAGCAAGATTTGTCAACCTTGCCTGCCAAGTCACTTACTGAAAAGGCCCTTTGCAGAGTGACTTGGCTGGCTAACCCTTTGAAAGGGTTACGAAGCAGTGTTTCGTTTCAAACTGTTACTGCTTTAGGTCTAGGTGTTTTCAAGCCTTTATTAATAATTACTCTTAAAATACATAATGTATTTTAATAACATTATGCGTAATGTTGTTACTGATATATGCATATTATATGAACTTATGGTGAATGCTATTGTTGTTGTGATGTTGCTTTTTTGTAATCTTTTGAGTTGATATACATTTGGTTTACCTTCAAGTTGTTGTCTACCGTTAAAAATGATACATAGTTAATTTCATTATTAGACCTCACTGCATTTAATCATTCACTAAAATTATTATTTAGATTCACTAAAAGCCTACTACTACTACTACTCTGGTAAATCACATCAGCTTTATCAGGTACAATGATTTCTTTTTTTTGTATGTAATTTTTTTCTTATTTACTTATTTGTTACATTTTTTATTTATCAAATGATGTATTTATGTGGTATAGAAGAACAAAATATTGTTAAGTTTAAAGAATTTTTTAAAAATTTTTACTAATATTTTTTTCAAATAAATAATATTGAAGTTTGCTTAAAAGGGTTTTACTACGTTTTTTTTTTTTAATTTTTCTATATTAGGAGTTTTCATTTTATTATTTTTAATGCAAATATCTATTTTTTATTATATTATTATTTTTTCTTTAGATCTAAATTGGAGCAGCTACAGACTATATTGCTCCCAGCACCCAGGACCACTCTGAGAGGTCCATTAACAAATGTTGCAGTAATAATGGTATGGAATAGCCCTCTTTCAAATGGAGGGCTCATCCATACAGGGGTGCTGGGAGGCACCAAGTAAAAAATAGCAACAATATTTTAATATATTCAATCAGTGAAGATATTAACTTTTTTAGTATTAATTTTTTTAATATTAATTTTTTTGTTGCTGTTTTTTCCTTGGTTTTTATTTTCATTAAAAAAATATATATTCTAAATTGTTTGTTTTTATTTTTTTAGTATTTGTTTAGATTATTATTTATAGTTTTTATTACTTTAATTTTTGATTCACAATATTACATGGCTATTATATTGCTTCGAATATATACCATATCAGTTAATCATTTTTGAAAAAATGTACTGCAGCAATTTATTAATTATAACATAAATCACATTTAAATTTGTAATATTTTAAAGTTATAATTTTAAACTAATTAGTTGATTTCCAGCAGATTTTATTTCTTTTGATTGTTTTGAATTTAATAATTTAGTGTTTATAGCTTTTAACTTATGTTAAGCTTTAATAAATTTAATCTTCTGATTTTAATGTGTAATAAATAATATAAAATATTGGAAAAAAGATTAAGTAATAAAAAAGCAGATAATTAATCTTTGATAAACTTTGTCATGTTGCTTATTATATTGTTGGCATTTCAGTGATGCTGTTAAATTTTTTTTTTTCTTTAGAATTTAGAAAAATGAATTAAACTACAACTTTTGAACAGTCATTGTTTGTGAAGGTTAAATTATTTGCATGTTTTTTATACAATTTTTTTATATAAATAGTATTAAAGTTTACTAAAAGGGGTTTACAAATACTTTACTTTTTATTTTTTGTCTTCTTTTTTTTGTATTAACAGTACCCTTTATCATTAAATTTTTTATTATTATTTTTTTATTACTATTGGTTAACTTTTTTATTTACATTATATTTATAAGTTTATTTTTTGTTTAAACATCTTTTAACGGATATATTTTAAAAAATGTTTTTATAAAAAACTCACAATATTGTTGTATAATTTGGTTTATTTTAAATGAAAATTTCCTATGTAATGTTTTAAAAATTATTCTTTGTGCGTGTGCAATTTAGAGAAGTAAAAAAAAAATCACAATCTTCAAGATTCTTTTAAGATTTTTTGTTACTACTATCAATTAAAAGTGAAGTTTAAATGGATGATATAAGGCTAGAAGTGGCTATTAGTTTAGAAAATGATGGAAATGTTATCAAGCAAGTTGAAAATAATCGTCGCAGAAATGCAAGAAATGGGCTGAGGCGGGATGAAATTAATAATCAACACAATGCTAGATATGCTGCATGGCAAGCCATGAATAATTTAAATCAAAATGAGGACAGTGTGATTAGGCAAGTTGAAAATAGTCGTCACAGAAATGCAAGAAATAGGCTGAGGCAGGATGAAATTAATAATTAACCGAATGCTAGATATCCTGCTAGGCAAGCAGCATGTACTTTGAACTGAAATAGGGAGAAAAAAGGGCAAGATAGATCTCACTATAATCTCCGTTCACATAATGAAGTTGCATTTTTTGGTGAAGATAGTGCTCCACCTACTTCCAGTGAAGTTGTTATTTTCCCAAGAGGTCATCCTCTTAAAATATATCAAGTATGTCTGCCAAATTAGAGCCTATGGTTTGTTCTTTATTTTTTCTAAGGGGTGATGCTGGTTGGCATAATCAATTGGTTTACAACCCTGAACGTGCTACATTGATTAGAAATCACGTTACATTATCTCAGTATTATAGTTATAGACTTTTAGTTGGACAATTAACTTAAACAAAAAAAATAGGTGAAGTGATTTTTAGTAACTTCAGATCACTTTGTTGTTATTTTTTTATTACTATTAGAAGGGTTAATAATAAAAGTTTTTAGGCAGTAGAACGGGTACTGATTTTAGTAAGTCTGCTATATTTTTTTACTTAATATTTTCATTAGATTTAATAGGTTTTTTTTAATTACTTTGGAGTAAAATATATTGAGTGATATTACTTCATTTTTTACACTTTTAGATTATGTATTGTTGTCTAGATTCTTTGTTAAATTACAATTTATTGATGTAAATAAATTTTTATTTTTATTTTTGATAGACAACTTTTAATCGAAAAATAAAAATCTAAGGAGGCGTGAGCTTTCTATTAAATGCTTATCCACGGTGCTCTGTGATAAGACCTTGAGGACTTCTTGGAGCACCTAAAATAAAATTAAAAAAAAAGTTGTTGAAATATAAGAAATGCTGCTCGGCGAGAAGAAAACTTACTTGCCAGAATTCAATGTCAAGCGGTGTTAATGTGTGTTTATTTGATTTTATTTTAAACACTTTAAAACAATTTAAATCAAATAGTTTTAAATTTAAATGATTTTAAATTTTTTTATAAATTCAAACGTAATTATGTTCTTTTTTTTTTAGTTGCCTTTGTTATCACTTGATTAGTTTGCTTACTGTTGAAACATGGTTTTAATTTTGTAAATTTAATGACATGAAATTTACTCTATTAATCATTAGTTGACAGTTAAAGAGAAGCTGGAGCTTTACATAATAAAGGTAAAAATAATTTTGTTTACTCTTAGATAAGAGTTGAAAGAGAGTTAGTGCATGGAGCATCAATAAAACTTATATAATTACTTTTTAGTTTAAAAAAAAGTAATTATATAAGTTTTATTAATGCCACAATTGATAACGACCATGTATATAAAAAATTTTATGAGCTGCTTGGTATTTTAGGATAAAATTGTTCAATATTGTAATCAATAAAATCTTTTTAGCTCAAGTATTTTAGTTGATAAAATATCTTAAGTTGTGGTGTTATACGTTATTACGTTATTTACTACGTTAAGTTGTCTAGCCTTTATATAATCTTTTTTTTTTTAATCATTTTGGAGAAACATAGTAATGTGTGCTTACAAATATCTTATGCTATGCGCTATTGTTAATGTGTTTTGTGTTGATAGAACTGGGCTATTACAGCAATTTTTTTAAGTCGTTATATCTTCATTCTATCAACAATAAAATGTAAATAATACTTTGTAATTATTTTTCGTTCCTTTTTTTAGGCATTGGAAGGCTTTACTTGACTTTCTTTTTATGGTACCTGCTGTGTTGTAACAGATCTTAAATAGAACTTTACGGATGTTAACGTAGTCTTTTTTGTTGGTAACCGTAAGCAATTATTTAATTATTAATAACCCGTATTACGGGTTGCTTACTGCTAGTATAATATTAATGAATATACAAATAATATTATTAATATTATATATAGATTTAATAATATCACAATTAATCTATATAATGACAATAATGAAGTTATTAATAATACAAATAATGTCAATTGGTTTTTATTCGGTACATACCTACACCAAACCGTACCGAGCACCTCAGACAGCTCCGGACCATATCAGACCACACCGGAGTATTAAATTTATTCTATAAACATATCTCCAAAACTTTCATTTACTTTTTTTGATTTTCTGTTTCTAATTATGAATAGTTTTTGAGTAGAGTCTTGTGATATTTCTTATAAACAAAATAATTGTAACTGTTTAGCATGGTATTTACAGCTTCAACACAAGCTTTAGCACGTGTCTTACTTAATGGTTTTAAAGCTTTTCCTCCTGATAATTTAAAATGGTCTTTTAAAATTGTCTACCAATCTGTTGATGCTTAAAAAAAATTATTAATATTTTGTACCAGATGGAATAGTTTTGTGGCTTCAAACAACTAGCTTTAGCACGTGTCTTACTCAATGGTTTTTAAGCTTTTGCTAGTGATGATTTAAAATGGCCTTTTAAAATTGTCGACCAATCTGTTGATGCTTAAAAAAATTATAAATATTTTGCACTAGATGGAATAGTTTTGTAGCTTCAAAAATCTGCAGTTGATATGCTAGTCAAATTTAAGGAACGCGTAGCACACGGGATGTATAAGGCTGTTATAACTCTGTTTCTTTTTTTTTTTTTCTATAAACTTTATGTTTTAATAAATCGTCCGTTATTTTGAAAGCCCCTAAAAAAAAATGAAGTGGAATGAAATAAAAAAAAAATCAAGTGGAAAAGAAGAAAATTTAACAATGTAACAATGGCCGATTTAATTTCAATATCTAGAACGTTTGATTATCACGTTATTGCTGTTTCGAAATGACTCAGTACCAAATATCGATGGGTATAGCCTATATCGTAAAGATTGTCAAGACGGACGTCGAGGTGGCGGTGTAGCTATCTACATTGCAGACGTATTTAACTCTCATAAAGTTAACCAATTTTATACAAATCTACTCGAACAAGTCTGGGTATCTGTAAAATTTAACAACAAACATATACTTATCGGTTGTATATACAGACCAAATGATGCTAGTTAAATAAAATATGTCGCTGAATCCTTCAAATAAGCTCATAGTTTAATTAAAAAGCCCTACGATGACTGTTTGATTGTCGGTGACTTTAACCTCCCGAATATAAAGTGGTCTAACGATGGTATTATATCTTTTAACCCAAACAATCCTACTGAGTATGATTTCTGGAATATTTTCCAAAACAGCCTTTTTACACAACATATCACGTTTCCTACTTTCCAGACTGATTATGGTTCCTCAAATAATATGTTGGGCTTGTTATTTACCTACAACAGTAATTCTATTTTAAACTTGTCTCCTAGTACTATACTAGGTAACACCACTAAGGGTCATTTTAGTATCACTTGGAGATTCTTAGTTTCAGAACTGTTTACCGAAAGTGTATCTCAATCGTTTAATTACAAAAAAGGTGATTACGATTCAATATCTAACTTTATTGCATCAATTGTCTGGGAGTTTTTATTTCTGCATAAAACTGCAGATTAAATGTTCAATATACTAATATCTAACTATCGCACTGCTTGCACATACTTTATTCCCAAGATTAATAAAACAAAAAAAAAGTATGATCCTTGGGTTACCCCACATATTAAAAACCTGATCCGAGCAAAAAAATCCGCTTGGCATATTAACTGCTCTACCAATTGGGAGAATAGTGAGCTTAAAATAAAATACAATCGACTTAATCGTTCAGTAAAAGCTGAAACATTTAAAGTAAAAAAAGCACATGAAAAAGAAATAATATCAAAATCCCAAAACAACCCAAAACTCGTTTACAAATATATCAACAAACAACTAAAAATTAAAGATCGAATTCGCTCTTTCAAAGATACTTCTGGGAGAATTATTGAAGCTCTTCCTGATATAGTTGATCTTCTGAACTCTCAATTTGAATCTATGTTTACACTTGAAAGCTCTGAAAATTTTCCTTTGCTAAATAAAAGTGGTATTCATTCTGAATGCATTTATAATGAAAACTTGGATTTCTCTATCCCAGATATTATTCAGGAACTTGCCGATCTAAACCCTTCGGATTTGACGGCCTGCATCCATTAATACTCAAGATATGTGCCAAAAGCTTTGCTATTCCATTAACAAAAATCTTTCATGAATCCTTTAATTCTGGAGTAGTACCCAGTCAATGGAAATTAGCAAATATTAGTCCGATCTATAAAAAAAGGGAGATAAATTACTTGCTGAAAACTATAGACCTATTTCACTAACATCTGTTGCCTGTAAAATCTTCGAAAAACTTGTAAAGAACAAAATTTTAAAGCACATTAACGGTAATAAAATGCTCTCTGCAAATCAACATGGCTTCCTTTATCATAAATCATGCGTAACTAACCTAATAGAAACTTTTGATATCATTTCGTCCTCCATAGCATCCCACCAATTTATTGATGTAATCTATCTTGACTTTGCCAAAGCGTTTGATTCAACAACAGACTTTTGTTAAAATTAAAATCTTTCGGTATAAACGGCAAACTCCTACAATGGATTAAATCCTTTTTAGTGGGCAGAAAGCAATGTGTTACAATAAACAATACCAACTCTGCATGGGTTGATGTTCTCAGTGGTGTTCCTCAAGGTTCTGTTCTCGGCCCGCTCCTCTTCATTCTCTACACAAATGATCTTGCAAAACTCACTGAAACTTCTGAGATATTTGCCGATAATTCTAAACTTTTTTCTAAAACCTTATCGCAATCTAATTTTGTTTTTATTTTTATTTATTATTATTTTTTATTAGTATTGTATTTGCCGATTGAAAATAATTTACACTCGTAATTTATAAAAACAAATATTTACATGACTGGGGCTTGAAGAAGACAAAATTCATCTTATCATTAAGCCCCCCCCAAAAAAAATGCATATTCATCAAATAAAATATTTTAACATAATTGTTGATCTTGTGGAAGTCAGTTCTTGACGAAAATATGAAAAAAATAAAATCTATTGATATATTCAAAAGAACTATAAAAAAACACTTACTAAACTCAAACATTACATACATTCTTTCATTTTTTTAAAAATAATATTTTTTTGATAAATTTGATAAAAAGCTTTTTTTTTTTTTTTTTTTTTTTTTTTTTTTTTTTTTATATATATATATACATATATATCTTTCTTGTTTGATTTTCTTTTTGACTGTTTTTTTTTTAACTTTTTTTAATAAATACTAACAAATGAATTTAAATCTACATAACGTTTGGAATCTTTTTAATATATAAATATTTTTGAATATATACTTCGCTTTGTATTGAATATGTATACGTATATGTACTGATTTGTAAAAAAAAATTCAAACTTTTTAATTTACGCATTGTATACATTTTTATTTTTTTATTTCGAGATTTTATTATTATTATTATTATTTTTTTTTTTTCTTTCTAACTTTTACTTTTTTTAATTTTTAATTTATTTTAAACTTTTTAATTTTTTTCAATCTTTTTACTTTATTTCAAACTCTTTAAATTTTTTTATTTTTATTTTAATTTTGTTTGAATGTTTGTTTATTTTTTTCAAAATTTTTAATTTAACTCTTTTTTATATTATTGGAATTTTAGAAATTTTATATTTCTCTATTTCACAAAAGGGCTTGATGATAAGACTTTATGTCTTCTACTTGCCCCTGTCAGCTTGTAATTATATATATATTTATTCGAATTTAAAGATAACATTGTAAAATGTGTAAAACGACAAAATAAACTAACTATATATTTATGATCTGCAGGATCGTCTACGCTTGGTATACGAGTGGTCAAACACTTGGTTACTTAAGTTAAACACCTCAAAATGCTGCGTCATTTATAACGGTCGAAACAACCCCCATTACAATTACTTTCTGCAAAACAACCAAGGAATCAACCAATGTCTAAGAAGCTCTACTAAAGAACGTGATTTAGGAATCATTTTTACATCTAACCTCAAGTGGAGCGCTCATATTCAAACAGTTGTCTCTAAGTCCTTACAAATTCTTGGTATGCTGACAAAAACATTCACTTTCATTGGTGAAAAAATGGCTCTCAAATTATATAAAGTATTTATAAGACCACATCTTGAATATGGAGTGACCATTTGGGCTCCTTATTTAAAAGCTGATATGGCTTTGGTTGAATCTGTTCAACGCAAAGCAACAAAATGGGCTTACAACTTGAGGCATTTTCAATACTGCGAAAGGCTAAAAAGATTAAATCTACCATCACTTGAGTTTCGACGCCTTCGATGCGATTTAATCCAAATTTTTAAATTAATACATCGTTTTGTTATAGTCAATGATAAATATCTACCAAAATATATTAACTCCATGTCTCGTGGTCACCATTCTAAAATAAGGCGTGAGTATGTTCCAAACTGTCTTCCAAGATATAATCATTTGTATAATAGATCAGCAAAATACTGGAACGAACTACCAGAGCAAATAACTTTGTACTCCACTGTACTTTCCTTCAAAAAAAGACTAGACTCCTGGTTGTGGAATAAGTTTGGAACAAATATTTATAAAACTGGTTGTTTATAGTGGGGTGTTTTCCCTGCTAGCTGTATGTGTACATTCTATGTAAATTTACGGCTACAACTATAATAATAATAATAATAAAAAAAATAATAATAAAATTAAAATTAAAAAAAAAATATTTCTGAAGCCTTCAAAAACCACGTTGTCGGCCCAAATAATTATAAAGTTATAAAAATTGGGTAAGTAAAAAGTAAAAGTTAAATAAAATTAATCCTCTGCATCAAACAGATCTGTTTTGCATGAAACTTTTTTATTAACTAATTATTTAAACTTTTTGTAAGTATTATCTATCTACAACATAGTTTTTTTTAATTGTTAAATTGGAAGCCACTTCATTTTTTTGAAGTGGCTTTTGAAATAGCGGACATTTATATGTTGGAAGGGGAGGGGCAATCGTTAATTTTTAAAAAAAGTTCCTAGAAATTTATCTTTAAAAAAATTTTCCAAAATTCCGAAAAAGGATGAATGCACGGTATTAGAATACGCGGTAATTTTGTTTGGTAAAATACACACTGCAATATACAGAACAAAATATTTCGAGTAAACAAACATAACTGCAATGAAACATAGGCAAAGCATCTATTTTAAAATGAATAATAATAATAATAATAATAATAATAATAATAATAATAATAATAATAATAATAATAATAATAATAATAATTTAGTTCTTCAAACTGGTATAATAAATTTATTGACGATTTTAAACTATTTAGTGTAGTAGAATTGAAGTCTATCACTTCGTAAAAAGTCTACCATTGAATCGTTCGATAGACATCTATATATCTATTATCGTTCAATAGATTAATTTATCTGCCATGAATTTACAAAAAGGAATTGATCTGAATAGCATTCTTTCAAAACTATGTGTTCTCAAATCTTAAGAATTAAGTTACCTCTAAGTATCAAAGTAAACGTTCAATTCAAGTCTGGAATTTTCCCTGACTCGTTTAATTCAATTTTTCATTTAATTTTATTGTCATTTAGAAATCAATTCAGATTTTTTATTTAATATACATTCTTGGTTTTCATGTATAATTTTTTCAATTTTTTTTTAAATATAATATTACTTGCATATAATATTATTATATGCAGGTGTCCTATAAGGTTGGACCCATTTAATATAAAATTATTTTTATGTCTTAGTTCATATATGCATTTTGACAGCAGTCTTTTAAATACTTATTTTCAAAAGATTGCATATGATTTGCAGAACAAATTTTCTATTTTCCTTTTGTTAAACCAATTTATTGTTTATCAGGTACATTCTTAGAAGAAATTCTTTCCATATTTTTTGTGTAACTGTAGCTAACTTTAATTGTATTTTGAATAAAAATTTAATGTTATTTATTAGAGGGTAGGAAGTGTTTATCCACTAATTTTAAAAAACACTTTCCCTATGTTAGTGGAAACATTTTTGCTATATATGGGGGGTTGAACCAAATTATGTCTACTTCTATTTCGCTTTTTTGCATTTTTTTCAGGGTCAAATTTTAGTTCAAAGTTTTAAAATCCACTTTTATTATAAGAGTGCCTTAGTTTATACAATTTAAGAAAGTGATTACATTTTCGTACATACATCAGAGGAGTTTTGGTTTTTTCATTATACATGTATATATATATATATATATATATATATATATATATATATATATATATATATATATATATATATATATATATATGTTATAATACATAAATGTATTATAATAAAATAATATAAAACAATGTCATAATAACATAAGCATGTGTAGGGTATAAACATATATACATAAATGTGTAGGGTGACCAGAATACTTTTTTTTTTTTTGTAAGAGAGTACAGCAACTTATTAAATGTAATTTGTTGCTTTTTTACGTAAGAGATTACAAAAAAAGACTATTCTGGTCATCCTATGCATGTGTATATAATATATTATGTACATGTGTATATAATAATATGCAATAGCTATAAATGTAAATGACTGAGTTATTAATTAATCAATAGTTAATTAGATAAATTTAGTTCATTTCTTCAGTTATTATTAGTAATTTTCAATTATTATTATTTTTTCAGTTATTATTAGTAATTTAGTTAATTAACATTAGTAGTTTAATTAAATAAATAAATTTATTTAATTAGTTTAGTTATTTAGGTAGGTTTGTATTTAGCTTTGTAATTCTTTAGTAAATATATGTTTTTGTACAGCATTTTAATATAGTTTTTTGTTGACTTTAGGTATGAAGTTTTTTTGACTTTAGGTATAAAATAATTAAATCATTTAAGTAAAAAATTGAAAAAAAAAAAAGAATTTCATTTAAGTAATGGAATTCAGGTTTCAGAATAAATTGTGAGGAAATTAAAGTTTTATTGAAGTTTTTTTTTCAAATTTCAAACAGTTAAATAAAACTCTGTGTTTTATATTTCATATTTTTGAATATAATAACTTCCAATTATTGGGTGTACATTTTTCATGAATTTTCTGTTAATCAATATTTTGGGCTACAACTAAACATTCATATTTGTTTGTTCACTTGCATTTCCAGTATTTAACTTTATTTTTACAGTTAGATTTTGATTGATTATTTTTTTAAGCTCAGAAAAAGAATTTTGTTTTGAAATATGAAGTTTTTTCATATTTTAATACAGATATACTAAAAATGTAAAAAAACTTGCCAAAAAGTACAGATGTACTAAAATATGAAATTATACTTTTTTTTTCAAAACCTTTATTTACAATTGCTTATTATATTGTATTATATGTATACTTTAAATTTATAGTTGTTAAATATTATATTTTAAATGGATAAAATAAAAGAAGAATATGATAAAAAGAAGTTCCAAGAATTAACCAATAATATGTTTAAAATTGGCTGCATTAAGGTATTTTTATATTTTGTTATTTTATGTTAAATAAATTTATTAGAAAACAATATCTAATGATTAATCTATATATTTGTTAGTAAAATCAATAATATTTTGATTGCTACTCTTTGTCTGAAGTCAGTCTTAAACAACTAGGGGAGACTGGGGTTAATCAGAACAGAGAGTTTGTTAAAACATTGAACATTTGCACTGAATAACCAGCAGTTTATTTACACAATCTAGTTACAAAGAATTGAAGAATTAAAGTATATACTATTTTGTTGTAGGAAAAGGTTTTTGCTTAACATTTTAAAGAATTGCACTCATGAAAGTAAATTTTTATGATCTTAACTGTAATCTTGTATTTTAGAAGAATATAATATAGTTGACTGTTTAGTATTTTTAGATTTAATGATTAATTTTTTTAATTATTAAGTTAAATTTGTTTAAAGTAAATTTATTGTTTTTTCTTTGTTAAAACATTAACAGATCTCTTGAACTACATTTTTTTAAACTACATTATTACAAGATTATTTCTTCCTAGTTTTTGGTTTCCAGAAGCTTCAAAATTGTAAAAAGGCTTATGAAGTACTTTTGGCAAAAAATTTAATACTTTTAAGTTAGAGGAACAATCAATTTTTGAACCTGAATCTTTATGTATAATGGTGGGATGGACTCCAGGACTCCAGACTTGAAAAGAATAAGTTCCAAGTCAGTAAATCTTATGAATTTTTTTCTTATTTTAAATCGTAAGTCATCCAACAATTTTAGAGCTTCTGGACACCAGAGAAGTTTGGAGTTTTTTGGGACTCCGAATCCTTGGCTGTGACAATCCCTAAATAAATCAATCAGATAAAAGTAAAGGAAATAAAATAATAAAACTGGTTTTAATCAGTGAAAAAAAAAAAATTAACTTTTTTGTCTATAAATTTGTTTAGTTGTTGCTTTTTTATAAAACAATTAAACTGAATTTGTTTTTCTCAACTATTTTATGGTTTTGTCTATAACCCAACACAGGATTAAAATTAAAAGTATAATTAAATTGATGTGTTTCTTTGTCAAAAGATTTGTTTTTACCTTTCCGTTTACTCAAAGCCATATATATATATATATATATATATATATATATATATATATATATATATATATATATATATATATATATATATATATATATATATATATATATATATATATATATATATATATATATATATATATATCAGGCTTGGATAGGAATGGCGTGCGATTGAGCGCTATTGTTGACCACGCAAATGGTTATTTTTTTTGACAACTTGACCACGATTGTTTATAAGTTTTGATAAATAAAACATTTCAGACATGAGCTGAATGTAGAAATGCTAAGCTAAATTTAAACTACCAAAAAAAAAAGTTTAAAAAAAACTATCGATAAAAAAAATCTTAACAAAAAAAGAAAAGAAAAAAAAAAATTACAAAAAAGAAATATATAAGTACTAAAAAAATAACTGAACTCGAAGCGAAACACGTATTTAATTCAAATAAATGTTATTAAAACTTATTTTAAAGTGTTTTATAAATGTTATGCAAAACGCTTTTAAATTAAGTAATAAATTACTTCTAATGATTGTTTAATAAATGATCAAATTTTATCAAATTTATTAAAAAGTGTTGTATATAATGTTGTATGTAATTTTTAATAATTTCAAGCTTTAATTAGTAAGTTAAGTTAAAAAAAAGGTTTAAACTTTTTTTATAAGGGAAAAAAATAAATAAAAAATGCGCCTGCGATTTAAATAAAATAAACCGCTAACAAGCAATTTAATTTGAGCATTACAACTTTATTAATAAGCACTTCACGTAACAAATTTAAAACTTATTATAAATTAAACTCACTCATTCCTATCGTAATTAAAAAAAAAACCTTCAAAAAATATAATTTTTTTTTAAAAGATTTTTATTAATATTTTTTATTAATATTAAACTTTTTGTTTAAAATTTTTTATTAATTAGCAGTTTATGTAAACAATCATTATAATTAATTTTATGGTTTTATTTAAAAGCCTCGCGTAAAATAAAAACTTTAGAAAACACCAACGATTAAAAGTTATTCATAACGTAACACTTTCTTTTATTGCATTTAAAATGTTAAAACATCAAAATTGGCGTGGTCAAATTGTGAAGAAAAAGCAATATTAGCGTGGTCAGTTAAAGAGTGTGATCGCACGCCATTCCTGTCCAAGCTGATATATATATACATATATATATATATATATATATATATATATATATATATATATATATATATATATATATATATATATATATATATATATATATATATATATATGTATATATATATATATGCAGCACTCCTTTGCAAGTCAGGCTATTTTTCAGATGATGTATCAGCACTCCGTTGCAAGTCAGGCTATTTGTCAATTGATGTAGTAGCACTCGGTTGCGATTCAGGCTATTTGTCAGTCAATGTAGCAGCACTCTGTTGCGAGTCAGGCTATAAGATAGTCGATGTAGCAACACTCAAGCATGATTTACAGTAAAAAATAAATAAAAATAAAAACATTTTATTTAAAAAATAAAAATAAAAACATTGTTTATATTCTTAAAAACATTTGGAACTTATAAATATAAACAAAGACATTGCAAGAGTTATATTGCTTCAAGTGTAAGTACTTGTAATAGTTAATTGCATAAAAAACTTCTAATATGAGTATAACTCTATTATTAATTTTTCAATAGAATATACGAGGGAATTTAGATCCTCAGTATATTCTATTTAAAACTTCTTGAAAATACTAAATGATCTAGACCCTCAGTATATTTCTATATATTATGTATATTATATACTTCTAAAAAATGCCAAATAATCTAGACCCTAATTATCAAATATATTTATACTTAATAATGTTATCAAGTATATTTATTCATAACGAGGGTATTAACTCTCTTGGAGTATTACTTTAAATAATTAATAATAGAGTAGTATCCAAAAGAGGTTTTTTATTTAATTTAAAAAAAACAAACTCTTTATAAGATGATGATTCAATTAAAGTTTGTAATAATTAATGTCTTTTTATTTTTTTGATAAAATTAATCATTATAACAAAACAAACAAAATTAAAATGTCAAAATTAGTATTAATATAAAATGAAATTTAACGTGTACTATTTTTTAGCTAATAGTTTTTTGTTTTGTTTTTTATTTTTTTAAAGCAATTTAGTATTTATCTTTGTTGGGCTTGCAAGATAATAAATAAAAGTTTTTTAATTATATTTCTTTTATGATTTCTTTTTTTTACTCTTCGTATAACATCTTTTTTTGTTCTTTTGCTGAACATTTTTGATGGAAAAATTAGGTTAATGAAAAAAAAAAAATCTTTTTTTCCCTTAACTTATTACATTTGTAAATATCAAATGTAATTGTCATTCAAACCTTTTTTTACATAATCGTCATTTAAACTTCATTAGTGGTTTTTATAGCATTAATAACTTACCGCTTAAACAATATCTTTAGAAATGTTTAAACAATAAAAAATGATAAAAAAGTGACTTATGTTAAATGGCTTACAATAAAGGGTTTAACATGTACATAAATGGAGCACCATTTTACGCTTTCAAGGCCTGTGTAAACAATGTGATTTTTTTTTTTGTTGAATTTTTTAAAAAATGTTATTCATCTCTCCAAGGTCGAGAAGGCCACTACAGTCGAGCAGGCTACTTTATTGTGGACAGGTACAAAACTTCTTTTTTAGATAGATAAGAAAAGTATCTTTAGATAGATAAGTAAAAAGTAAAAGTATTTTTAGATAGATAAGAAACTTCTTTTTAGATAGATCTGTTTGTGAATCTTTTTTAAAAATTTATCTATTACCAAACAAACAAAAAAACGCTTACTTTTGGTGAAGTTTTTATGTTACTGCAATATACTATTTTTTTTTTGGAGGAATTTTCCTTTCAAACTGCATTGTGAAGTTTGTTGGCAGTTGCATTGTTGGTTGGTTGAGAAGTTAGTACCAGATAAATTTTTTTTTATTGTGAGCAGTTATAAGTTATGTTAATGTTAGGAAACAACTGTAGCTTGCTTTTAAGTTGTTTTTGTTAAAGATTTTATAAAATTTATGAGATTTTGGAAAGTGTTTTTAGCTAAATTTTAAAAAATTCTTGCAACATTTGTTCTAATGTTAAGCGCAAAAGGAGGGTTAAACCATATAATGTTACATAATCTTGATTTTAATTTTGTTGCTGTATGATTTGGTTTATAATAGATTGTTTCTTAATAATCATTAGACACCAAAGCATTAACATAAAGTGGTACAGCTTTGTCAAAAACGTCTTTGTTGGATATTATATAACTATTGTTAATAATTGTTGGATATAAATATTGCTAATTTGTTTGTATAACATCGTTAGTATGAACTTGATATTAGATGGGTGGTTAGAATTAATGTTAATGTACAGTGGGTAATCACTTGATTTTCTGTATGGTCGAAAGGAACAATCCAATAAATTAAATGTATCATCTAAAAAATGTACAATCTTTTAGTTTAAGTATAAAATTTTAATGGTAATATCTTAATACATATTTTAATTTCTGAATAAAATAGAACAATAAATACTGAAATTTAATGAATTTATTTTTTTGTTTTGGTATGCTTAAAGGTTAACACAGTTGAAGCAGTCCTGTATAAAAACTTCTTTGATAATTTTATCTTCCTTAATTTTATCTTTATTGGTTTTAGTGTATATTGACACAATAAACATAGTTTATTTACATTTATTATATTTAATAAAATTTAACAACTAATGAATGAGCATAATAAAGAATCAAGCGAGAATGAGTTTTTATTAATAGAACTAGAGATAATAACTCTTTTAAGCAGTGACCATAATAGAATTTGTAGAAAAGAGAAAGAGATGCAACTTTACGACAATGGGAAAGAGGCTCAAGCTTAGCAAATAGAGCTTGTTTAGAAGAAAAAGGGCATCATAAGAAGAACCAGCTCAAATATGACAACAACA